TACAAAGGCCTTCTTTCAATAAACGTGTGTTTATACATCAGAAATTCAATCTAGCTCATAAGTTTGAAAATAAAAATTTCGAAAACTAGGCAATTTTCAACTTTAATTTCGAAAACTAGTCATAGGATTAAGTTGAAACTATTTACACTTTTGGTTACTAGGTTGAGTACAGTAGCATACCAAAAAAATTTGACCGGTTGCCACTTTACATAAGGAAATACGTGAAATGTGTACGTTTTAAACCTACATTTGAAATGATAAATCTATAAAAATGTATAGACAAAAACAATTTGAAGATGAACACCAGAAAGGATTACAAGAAAAAGAAATTATTTTTGAAACTTTAACTGAACAAGAATAGGTTTTTATTTTTTTTATGTTTATTCAATAAAATTATTATCTAATTACCTTTAGATACAAGAGGCCAGAGATATAATATACACCGGTGTTTAACCTGTGCAAATGTTGCCAATTTCTAAAGAAAGGTTAACGGAGTGGGGGAACTGGGCAGAGACCCGAACTCTGTGACACAGACCGGACTTTGTTTATTAGCATCATAATGAACTATCAGATTTATTTAAAATACATATACGTTTAATGGAATTTTGTATTATGAAATAAAATTAACGTGAGTGATTTTTTAATACCAAACAGATGCCACGACATTTTATGTAAAGAGAAGACCTTTTATAGAATATTTCGTAAGCGTTTATTTACTACGGACTTTTCAGCAAGAGACTACAGTAAAATGTTGAAATAGAATATTGTTAATAGAGCAAGAATTGGTACTCATTGCCTACGAGTATTATAAAAAAAGCATGCGCGCAGGCGAATACTGCTAATCAAACCTTGCGAGTTGAACATTATATTTTTTCTACGGCTATTACATAATATTAAAAATAAGTCAAAATGAGAAAATGCTGTTTTGTATTGTAACCACAGCTTCTTTATTTAGGAATATTAATTAATATAGAGGATGAGTCACATAAAACTCTAGAAATGCATATGTCTGAAACCAGATAACATTTTAAAATTTAAACCTATTAAAAGTCATTTGGTCACCAGGGGTGAGTGATTATCGAAATAAATTATTGATCATTGAAAATAATCGATTATTTTCAAACAATCTACTTTTTTGGCGTATTTCCTTTAAAATCGACTACTTGATTATCTTTGAAAAATCGAAAATAATCGATTAATTAAAAAGTCAATTAACTGATAAATCGATTTTCAAAAAATATAAAAACCGAATTATCGATTATTTTAAATAATCGATTATTATCAATAATTTATTTTTATTGTATTTCCTTTAAAATCGATAATTCGATTATCTTTGAAATACCGAAAATAATCGATTATTCCAAAATAATCGCTTAATCGAAAATAACCAATTAATTAAGAAGCCGATTCTATGATAAATCTATTTTCCAAAAAAATAACCGAATTATCGATTATTTTCTAATAATCCTTTTCATATTTCCTTTAAAATTGATTATTCTATTATCTTTGAGAAATCGAAAATAATCGATTATGAAAAAGCTTATTAACCGATAAATCGATAATTCTAAAAAATAACCGAAATGTCGGTTATAAATAATAATCGATTATATTCGATCAATCGATTATTTTCATATAATACCTTTGAAAAATCGAAAATAATTGATTAATCGAAAATAATCGATTAATTAAAAAACCGAAAAAATCGATTATTTTCAATCAATCGATTATTTTGAATAAATTTACTTTCTTTTTGTATTTCCTTTAAAATTGATTATTACATTAAAAAAACGAACATAATTTATTAAAAACAACGGATAAATTGATTTTCATAAAAAAATATCAGAATAATCGATAAATTGATTATTTTTGAAACCCCTATCGATCGCTTGTTTTTATCCGAGCATTTAGCTCCAAAATTTAGAGATTCGGATTTTTTGATCCCGTTATCTTTGAAACCGCATTCGATTGTATAATAAATATTGCTAGAATTTGGATTTTTTAGTAAACGAAAATTTTGTTCGAGTTATTTAGGGGTTTATAATGTAACATTTTATTAACAATGTGACTAACTCCCGTAACTTTAATATTTTTTTTTTGCTTATACTAGATTCTAGATCATATTGTGCGTTTTACTTTGTTTGAAGACTTAAGATTCAAATGTCACTTTCGATTTGACCGCAAATAAGATGAACCTTGAAATTGTAAGTAGGTCATCCTGTATTTCGTCTAATATTCTTATAAAAATAAAATTATAATTATGCTTCTTTACTTCTTATTTATCTACCAAAAAGGGTTAAAAACCACCTTTAGTAAATATTCTTATAAAACTACTTTTTAAAAACAAAATTTCGTTAGCAACAATGCCTATTTACTTCTCATTTAAATTAAGGAGGTCCTTTCGCCACACCTCTCGCCTCAAATTTAAAAAAAAAAGGTATTAGATTATGACTAAAATTAATTTTTTTCTAATAGTTGAAGTCCTTATTTATCTAATACTGAACTTTTAACTATACCTTACCTTGCAAATTTTTGAGAATTTTTTTTTTAAATGTGAGTATTTGTACAGTGCCTCACGAGAAAGTAAGTCCTCAACAACAATTCTCGAATTATACTATTATTTATTGATTAGATTGAGTAGAAAAAAAACTAAAAATAAAGTTTTTGAAATATTTAGATTTTCAAAAAGGAAAAACTTGTATTTCGTGCAAAACTTTTTTATTAATCAATGCAAAGCGCTTTCGGCTTATTTGCCATCATCAGTGCTCATCTACAAAAATTGTGGATGTAAACTTACAATTTAAAAAGATTTAAAAAAATTTATAAAATCTGAATTAGACTTTTAAGTCAAAAGTTAAAATAGTATATATACAATTGTTTGAACGAATTAAAAATTACAAGAAACAGACAAAGTGACAAAAAACCTGGTATTGGGAATAGTGAGTGTGGGATAAGCCCCTACAAATCAAATCTGATCTCCAAAAGCAAGTTAGCTTGTGTGGAATTAAGGAATCATGCCACCCTCACTATTCACAAAATTGAAAAAAGGTTAACAAATTAATTAAAATTTAAAGAAATTTACAATTAGAGGGTGACTGTGGAATATATATTTGAATTTGAATCTATAATGCAATATTTGATATGAAGAAAGTAAAACGCAGAAGTCCAAAGTAAAAAAACTGAAGGTTTTTTTTTATATATGTTTTATATACATTATAATTATGAAAAAGTCTACCTACTGTCCACAACGTATCCAACAAGTTCCTGGTCATCCTCACTCCCAAAATTATAAATTTCGGGATGTTTACAACTTGCTAAATCATAATTTTATTAATATTAATATTTTCAAATTTAAATTTATCTCATTTTGGTTCAAGTTGTTTAACCGTTTCCACATGACAGTGGTGACAAGCGACACTTGAAGACTTTGACTTGTCAAATGTCAACAGAAGGAGGTGCGTTCACCTCAGTGTGGAACATGTTTCTCCGAGTGTGATTCGAGTGATTGGAGGTTAACGGAGATCAAAATTTGTTATTGAATTTAAAGATTTAATTTATTGTTATTTAAATTTAAATAAATGTTTAATATGAAAGATATTATTATTTTGATGTCAGGACAAAACAAAAATGTCACTCGCGTGATTCAGATGTGTCAACCCGGGCTCTGCAGAACATTCTTTCAGAGAACCCAAGATGGCACAACTGAACCCGCGGTCCCTAAAGGTGAATCTGATGTTTAGTCCTAAAAATTACTAAATCACTCAACAAACGTACTCATGGTTAAAAGAGACAAAATAGAGAACAAAAAAGTTTTAAACAGACAAACAAACAAAATTTGTTATTGAATTTAAAGATTTAATTTATTGTTAGTTAAATTTAGATAAATGTTTAATATAAAAGATATTATTATTTTGATGTCAAGACAAAACAAAAATGTCACTCGCGTGATTCAGATGTAGGGGCTTATCCCACACTCACTATTCCCAATACCAGGTTTTTTGTCACTTTGTCTGTTTCTTGTAATTTTTAATTCGTTCAAACAATTGTATATATACTATTTTAACTTTTGACTTAAAAGTCTAATTCAGATTTTATAAATTTTTTTAAATCTTTTTAAATTGTAAGTTTACATCCACAATTTTTGTAGATGAGCACTGATGATGGCAAATAAGCCGAAAGCGCTTTGCATTGATTAATAAAAAAGTTTTGCACGAAATACAAGTTTTTCCTTTTTGAATCTAAACTACGTGCACACAGCTGTCAACCTTTTTTGGTTTTTTTAATTTAGATTTTGTTTTATACAATAAAATATATATATATAGTAAACCGTGGAACTTATTGAGAAATTAATATTAAAAAATCACAAAAAATTTTCAAGTAACCTAGTTGAAAATTTTTTGTGATTTTTTAATAATAATTTCTCAATAAGTTCCACGGTTTACTATATATATATTTTATTGTATAAAACAAAATCTAAATATTTCAAAAACCTTATTTTTAGTTTTTTTCTACTCAATCTAATCAATAAATAATAGTATAATTCGAGAATTGTTGTTGAGCATTGTGCAATTTGATTTTGGTCGTCTGGCAACACTGCTGATGAAGCAGGAGAGTGTAGGAACGCTCTCATGAGTTTGAGAATAGGGTACCAGGTTCTACATGCACGGACGAATCTTACTTCTGGCTCAAATTTGAATACAGATTATTGGGCGAAAGCATTTTGTGAAGATATTCGACTTTTTAATGCCTTGCCAAACGATATAAAAGAAAGTGTTTCAGTATCCACTTTCGATAAAAAAATATTTATTAGCTTAAGCTAAATAAAGATTTATTTATTTATAACATTGATAAAAAAACATAAATTATGACGCAATTTTTGAAGTAACTTCTAAAAGTTAAGCCAAAAAATGATAATTTAAATTTCACAACTGCTGTATAACTGAAAATAATTTGTAAAAGTCACTGATAAAATATAAAATTTTCTGACTTTTTAAAATTCTTACCGAAATTACTTTCCCGATTTGCTGTAGGCTATCTATAGAAAAGCTGCTGTTGTACCTAGACTGATATTCGTATCGAAAGGTGTTTAAATCCATACAATGTGGCTGCTTTAGAAGCAATCCCCAACATCTCACTATTAGAACACTCGGTATTGTGTCCACATCAATTGCAACTAGCAATAGTTCGCCATTACTGTTGTTGACCTACAAAAATGAAACTTTTGTTAGGCATTCATTTTTTTTTATTGAGAAACGTAGTTCATGTCAGCCTATTTGAAAATGGGATGAACAAGTAAACTGAAGGGGTGCAGTAATAAACTAACTAAACAAACCAGGGAAACGTTTAAACTCTAGTAACAATATAAAGTGATACTAGAATAGAGATTGAAATTTAAGAGCTAAAAGTATATATTTTACGAGCGGATCTAGTGATTAGTGAAGAACGAAATAAATGAAAACATGAAATTCCACATTATATTAAAATAAATAATGTGTTGTAAGATATATAAACTGTTATTGATATAATTCTACATTCCACTCAAAGAAATTAAAGAAAAATTAGAAGTTAAAACAAAGATGCATCACTCGCTCTTCTCTAGAGAAAAACTCTTACTATGACGACAATCTCTCAATATATAAATAATATCGTGAAGACTTATTTTAATAAAAGAACATTTTCCAACAAAGGAAATATGAAAGTTATTATTAATTCTTCAAAGTTATATATTCAGGGCGAGATCGAATAATGTGATGTGTGAAGACGTATATTTTAAGATAAATATATTGTCTTAGCATTGAAATCAGATTGCATGACCAGAAAAATTCACAATTCCAAAACCTTGTAATTTAATGAGAACCGTCGACTGACCAGTTTTGATAATAAGATCTTGATAATAAAAATGTATTTCTGTACTTTCTCACCTGAACATAATCTCCTAATCTAGAAATTACTTCAGAAATAGAATTACATTCGTACATCTGAGGTTTGAAAGGAAATCCAAATTCTCTTAAATAAATTTTTGGGAGATCACTAAGACGTAGAGAGGACTGAGGTGATGCTTTAATTATTTGTACTATCTGAGATCCTAACACCTTCAAAGCTTGTTGTACAGTCAAACTAACAGTTCTTTCGCCATCAGGCATTTCTTCAATCTAAAAAAAAACAATTGTTTATTTAAGGTAAACTTATTCTTTATTAAAAGTATACCTTTACAATTTCTGGTATAGCTTCAAATAATTCTATTAATTTTGAAAATCCATAATTAGAAACTTTGCACTGATGTCCGAAATGGTGGTGATATGCAGGCACAAATTTGTTGAAAAAAATTGTATAATATGGTGAATGTCGCAGTAAATCTATGACCTAGGGATATAGAAAAATACATTGTAAAAATTGTGGCAGTCCGATATGGTAACTCATAATAAAAAGATCCACATAAAAGGTTTTTAAAGCCATGATCGAAAAAGTCAGAATTACTAGCCATGTCCATGATAACTACGGACGACTCTGCATTAAATCCAAACTGACACTTAAAAAGAAGAATTGTACGCGCCGACATGCGTAAATTTTTCCAATGCTTACTTTAAAAACATTTTTTTCTAATTCTGACATATAAATTGACATTTTTTATAATTGCAGTAAGTGTCAAACTGATCTGCTTTATGTAACCAGTTATAAATCGTTTTTTTCGTTTTAATATCAATATATTATTATACATCATTATTAAAAGTTTTCCGAAGAGGCTAGCAGGAGATTAGTGTGCATCCACGTTCTTGCAACAGTTAAGCAGTGATCTCTCCGCTTACGTTGTCAATGGGTGACGGTTGGGATGTGTCACTATAGGACTTAGCTGACTAGTATCGACGACGTGGAATGAATGACGCTGAATGAGTGAGTGAATTGGTGATTGAGAAAGTAGTAGGACCAACGACAAAGAACTAGTAAACTAATATTGTTTACAAAAATCGAATTTCAAACATTCACGCTTTTAACCACGTAGTTTTCTAATTATTATGAGAGTATCGGAGAGTTTTATTACAAGGATTGTTTTTTAAGGACTACTTTTTTGGCTAATACCACAACAGATATTGAATTATATCCAAAATTATTCAGTGATCTATATTAGATCAGGTAATGTTAGTAAATGTCACTTAGGGTATTTATCTAAAATGATATGGCTTTGAGCTTTTCTTGTTTTTCTTTATTTTACCTAAATAATTGTTTTTTGTATTTTTAATATGGGTCTATAAAGTAGCGTATCCAGATTTTAAGTTTGCGGAGGACTTGTGTCGTAGTTACCATATTTTTCTGTTTTGTACACAAAGCTCAGCTGCCCAAATAGCTGTTAGCTACATTTTGTCAAAATATTTACGGGGGAGGGGTGATAGTTGGTAGGACGCTTGAACGCTACTGGACCTACATAAAATTAATACAATAAAAAAATATCTTGGGTAATAAGCTTAATAAGTTATCTTAATTATATAATTTACAAGACTGATAAACTTTGACAGATCTTTAGACTGTGTGTAATTTGAAGTTTATGTAATTCAGACAGATCACATTCTCAAGCTCTGTCAAAGTTCTCCAGGCTCATAAATGTTAATGACAGTTCTTGCAACCGGCTGTAGAAGTTTTTAAGAAATAGTCTTACTTCCACAGCAAACTGTTTAGTTCTCAAAATTTCTTCAGATGTTTGTTCTCTTTTAGGTACTCCTATGATAAACTCTCCATAATCATTCGGACTGACCACGACAGTATTTTCAGAAACTTCTTGCAACAAATCTTCAAAAGTGCAAAGACCATACTCGACTGCATTGAAAGGTTTATTTATAACTTTTTCGTAAGCGGAAGGAAACTCTGTGAGCGAGATTTGTTTGGCAGGTTGAACTTTTAGGACTCGAAGAAGATCTGATGTAAAACGGCGCATTTGGGATGAATGGGAAAGAGTTATGGCACGCTTAGTTCCATCATTTAGAATCTAAAAAAAAAAATACACATTTAATTAATAACATAACAGCTAGATTTTTCTCTATTAAGAAACACATAATCTAACATTATGTTGTGAAAGTCAACTTACATGTTTGTAATAAGTTGATAAATAAATATATTACATGAAATTATCGAATATTTTAAAAATATGGAAAAACACATTGATATATTATTTGAATAATGTGTTAGTAGTGCATTGATACGCTAAATACGGTTCAGTACTAGTACAATAACATGGGAACATTATTAGCTGATAAAATGTTATGAATTAATGAATTATCTCAAGTCTGAACCTGCCAACTGGTGCCTGCTTGCTTCATGACATCGCTTTGGGTTACATGACCATTGTTACAAAAGCGCTTCTTGTAAGTTGCTTGTGTCATACATCTCTGATATTGCACCCGGCTTTTATTAGCATCTTTATCTGAAGAAACATTTGGCAGTACAAAAATTAAGTTAAAATATGGAAAATTGGTTTAACAAAAATATTTTTAATCTTAATCTTTTAAAAAAGTTTCTGCGAGACTTTTTATAATAAAAGTTTTTTTGAGATTTTTTTCAGTCAAAATGAATTTATGGAGTTATTGCACATTATGATATTAGGTATTTAATAAGAGCAAACCGAAAACCTCGAACGTTTATTCTTCAGAGACTTTATTTTTAGCCCGATTCTTGTGAAATATCAATAATAACAAAACTTAGGGTGGAAAAACCTTGAATTTTTTGTAAACCTTCAAAAACTATTTATTTTGAAAATTTTTAAAAGAAATTCTGTGAAAATTAGTAGTTTTTAAATGGGAAGATTCCCCATATTTTTTAAACGTCTCTGTAGAGTGATGCCTTATTGTTGCACAAATTTAAAGCTCTCAATATTCTCAATACAAATAATATCACGAAGTATTTCCAGTGGTGCGCATATAAATACAATTTTATATTAGAAAATCCTTTTTGCTTTCGCGAGAGGTCCGTAACATACCTGAACTCAATTTTCATAGAAAAAAAAAAAAAAAAAAAAAAAAAAGAAAGAAATATATCATATCGTAAAAACTACGGTATTATATCAAGGTTGTGAACATGCATTTAAACAACAATATTTTTAATAATTCAGATTTTATTGTTTAAATTTAAAATGTGTCATTAATTTGTATTATTAACAATTCCAAAAATATACTGATTTACTATCAAAAACCTGTAACAAATCCTAAATAAACGACTCAAGCCACATTAAAGTACGACTCAATCCGTGATTCAAGCTAAGAGATACTCCCTCTGGAGAAAATTTGTAAAAGGTGTCTATAAGTAGAACTTCTTTCAGTGTTGGCAACAGTAGCTAAATTCCGCTACGTCAGCGGATTTTTAGCACTTGAAGAAGTGGAAAGACCTTTTTTCTAAGTAGCAAAATTTGTGTCTATCAATATGTAATCATACTCTAAATTTATTTAAGGATTTTTATAAAACCGATTTAATTTTAATGATTTTTTTAAAATTCAGTTCATTTATCAATTTTGTTTTAAAATGAGTTCATCAGTTGGCAACATTGGTCTTGTTGTGTTGTCTGTTGTCACTGATAGTAATTTTTATCAATGTTTATCATGTTTTTGAGCATTTTTTGTTTACTTCTTATAGTGTGATAACGATAACTGTGATAGTGTTTATTATTAATAATGAAATTTGCGAAAAAGCGTTCAGCAAATTGCAATATATTGCTGTGTTAATTGCACTTTCAACTCAAAACAGAGTCGTTAAGTTTACTTCATCATTTTCCGAGGAAGGATAACCGTAAAGTACTTATTAAAAATAAAATGGGCAATTATGAGAGAGTCAACATCCGAAAACGGTGTATTTCTATTCTTAAAAACAACCTTCTACCTCAATGCGAGTGGGTTCTTGCATTTCGTAGAAGATTTTTGTTCATGTGAAGGTAAGTTGTTTATATGATGTATTTTAATCTTGTTGAATTCATTATATTGATATAATACATCTAAAAACAGTTAAAAAAGCCCACCAAAAACTTACTTATAGGTGACAATTGACAGGCGAAAATTAATTTGAATCTCGAATTAGGTAGTCCAACAACCTGTCTAAATGCTGCCCGTGGATAAAGATAGGTTATGATATGGCAACCCTGTGGGCATGTTGTCTTTGACAGGGTCAATGATGCACATATAAGGTTCTTTCGTTCGTCCCACTGGTGTAGGAATGAACTACACCAACGTACACTAAACCTTTCGTTCGGCTCGGTGTAAAATCCACTAAACCTTCCTGTCGGCGATGTGGTGTCCACTGGTGGATATTTTCTCCACCAGCTATTTAGCAGGAGTGAATTACACTCGACATGTGAATAAGGAATAAAGAGGGAAGTAAACTAAGGTAAATAAGGTGGTGTAACTGGTGTAATTTACACTGGTGGACACTGCACCAACAGCGAACGAAAGAACCTATAGTTACATAGATTATTCAAAGTGAGTCATTTTGCGAGCGGCCATATTGCTTCGCATGTGTTCATTAATCATAATCGATTGAGCAAATTTTTTTTTTGTAGGAAGATTTATAATTAATTATTGAAAACAATTTAGCAAACTGATACACAATTGTCTTTGGTCTTCTCGAAAACATATTTATATACAAAATTATATTTTGAAAATTAAATGTTAATTTGCAGGTAAGATATCTTAGTTTCGTACAGGTAGTCATTTGTAATATGGTTAAATAATTACTATAAATTATATACTTATGAACAATAACACAAAAATGCGTGTTTAATCAAAATCATCTGATGAAATGGCATTATCACCATTAATGGAAATGATTGGTGGTTCTGTTAAATTATGTCGAAATTATAACTGTGTCACTGTCAAGTGCCTCTATTAAAAGAGCTTTAACTTGTTGGAAATATTTTTAACCATATCTGCATCGTATATATTGTTGGGATGTTCTCTTTTTTACGACTATTATACGAAGTATTCACCATTACAATGACTACATTATCAATAAATAGGTAATTAAAAACAATAAAACACGAAATAAGCACATTTTAAATGTATCAACCTCTATGTGTCAAATATGCATAAATACATGTCATTATTAGACATTTTGAACTTTCCTGTCAAATAACCAATCGGAAACTAACGTTTAGGCGAGAAAAATTCAAATTGCTTCTCCTAGTTTAAAAACAGTATAGTTGGAAATAAACCAAAAGTCCCATACTCGTTAATGTGACTGACTTACCGAAAATGTATTCATAGTCACTTGTAAATACAAATTAATAATAGTTACCTGTATCACATGTGGGATCGCTTCAAATAGATCTACAAGTTTTGTATATCCGTAATCTGCTACTCTACATTGCCTCCCGAAATGATGATGATATGCAGGTATGAATTTATTCATCAGCAATTGACATCTGTCTTGAGTCTTTAATAAATCAATTAACTCCCTGCTAAGTAGACTAATATTCGGTGCTAAAGAAGGAGGAACGGACTTTAAAACAGTATCTAAAAATAAAAAAAAAGTTGTTATACCCCTTTTTTGTGGACTAATTATGAAAAATAATATTATTTCATTTTTCATGAGAAAATATTACATATGAAAGTCAAATGAAAACCATATTAAATGAAATTCGAGACATTGTCAAAAACCAATATGTAATATTTGACTTATTATCAATTTGGAAGAGCCTAAATGTCCAAAAGAAAAAATATTTTATTCGCTTCCTGTATCATGTTATCTATCACAAAATGAAAATCATTTGGTGCAAGATAAGGAAGATATGGTAGACACCAGAACTCGCAGTTTGGGGCATCATTTTGAGCTTCTTTGGCCCTGATGACAGACTAGAGATGGTTCTCTAATAGTTCTGATTATGTGACATTAGTAATCTTAACCCCATTCAGTATGTAGTTCTCCAAACTTACCCTTCTTGCTTTTCAAAAAAGAGTGTATGTAAACTGTCTTACTGAGAGCTGTTTGTAAAAATTTTAGGCTTTTGGATGAGGTGTAATACCAGTATTTATGTTTTCTTGATTTCATGTTAATTATAATGTACCCAGGACATTCTCAAACACAATCCTTGCTAGGAAGGCGAGTTTTACACAAGCATCAAAATAATTTTTTTGGATTATGGATTTATTGATTATGGAATTGGAGTATGTCATGTAAAATGTGATGTACAGAACCATTAATTATATTCTAAACTACAGCGAGTTCGTCAAGGACACCTAGATTATTTCCTTTACCAATGCTTTATCATAATCGATTAAGACTTCACCACAGTTTGACCAAGTCAGGAGAATCAGCTATGGAAATCACCCAGTTTTTGAAGTTGATGCTCCAGTCATTCACTTGGCGAGTTACAGAAATGATTGTCCATGTTGTAGCTTCATTCAAGAATGGTTATTAATGAGTTTCATTGTGCAAAACATTTCAAAAATAATACTGACTTGTAACCGAATGGACTCGATAAGGTTTTCCTTTGACTGTATATACATCTAGTACAATTATTTTTAATTCAATTCAATTTTAAGTTAATTTTATGTAAATATTACGGACAATAGAATAAAATATTAAGAAAAATTACGAATATTTCCTAGCCTCGATTTTTATGTAATTATAATAAATGAAGTAATCGTTTTACTAAAATTATTTGGTCATAATGAAAATGGAAGTCGAATAAAGATAAAAAAAAAATGGTAATATGGAAACAAAATAAAATATACCTTCTTCACTTTCATCATTCTTGCTTTCTTTGTATTTGATGATTTTTATATTTTTATTAGGTCCCATTAACTTGATGTCTATATCAGGTACACAAGTTATAAGGTGTTCTAAAGGAACACCACCATCATATACTGGTAGAGGTTCATGGAATTCTTGTTCATAACAAGATTGAAAACTAAAAAAAAAAAAAAAGTTATTTTCAAATTAAATATGTAAAATATTTCGGATGCTATATGTTGGCGCCCGAATAATAACGTTTTTAGTACCAGAATAATTAGCAAGAGATGATAAACTATAAAGTTTACTCATTAGTTTCAACTGCATCGATAAGTAATTGTCATGTTTATCTGCTGTGCTTCTTGGGGCTAAGATAATCGAAGATAATGCAGGTCTAAATGTTTTAATGGGAGGTGACAATGGAAGGTAAGATAAGAAAATTATAAACACTTTTTTAAGGTGACCAGCAATGTTTCAAGTTTTTCTTGATTTCGCCATCCCAAAACAGGATTTACTTTTTTGATAGGTTGGATATTATGTTATCGTGATTTGTGGTGGTCCACAGTGAGTACTCTGTTTCTTTTTGTTATAAAGACTCTTTTAAATGATTTTGGAAATTCAGGAATAAATACCAAAATTCTTCTACAAAATTATGGAATTTATCACCAAACTCCAAGTTGAAACGAAACCAAATGAAAAAAAAACATTATTCTATGAAAATTTTTTAGTTCCTCTAACCTGATTTTCAGTTTCTTTGTTGCTCTAGTCTCTAAGGCCCGTATTTATAAACAGAACTCAGCTGAGTCGTCCTTGAATGAAAATCGAAGTTCGATTATATCACGTGAATTTAGAGACGGGTAGTAACAAATCCGTAAATGTTCTTAACAGTTACAGATTTGCTATTATCCATCTCTAAATTCCACTGTAACACCGGAACCACCTGGAACTTTAGAGACGTAACCCAACTTCGATTTTAGTTCAAGGACGACTTACCAAAGTCCGACTCAGCTGAGTTTTGTTTATAAATACGGACCTAAAGTAATTGGCATGTTTTATCATGTTTTTTATGGCGTTTCTATTAGTTATATCCAAAACTGATACGTTTATCAGCTTTAGCATCAGACTGTAGTATTACTTAATATAGAGATTTTTATTGCTAATGGTTTCATCTATTTCACATTTAGATTTTATATGCATTTTTAGGTTTGGGAACAAAGCAAGTCATTTACCACAAAAAGGGGGAAAAGAAAGAAATTTAGATATGGATATTCTTGTACTGAATATTGACGAAACCTCAATTCAAGTGAGTACTACTCTAAAAAAGAAAATCACTGAAAATGTTATTTATTATATTACAAAATGTTACAGGGCAATGAAACTCCTCAATTATTTATTAAAAATCCTACAAGTTTTTTATGATTCATTTTCCCAATGAGAATTCTGTAAAGGTAATGGAGAAATTTGGTTAATATTTATATATTCATATATATTCATAACAACAAAAATGCTGAATTGTTATTTTAAAATCATTGCAAAACATCGATCTCCAGAAATTGGAATATTTTTCTAATGTACATTTTTTCCTTAGTGCAGTGGCGACAGAAGGGGGCACAATAGATCTTTTAGGTCGCAGTGTATTAACACCCCATTATCAACATAACATAATGTACATTTATATAATTAAATAATGTTAATTGTTATTGTATTGTAACGTTTATTTTAATTTATTTATTTAAAACACACTATTTACAATTTATTTATGACATACTAATTAATTTATATAATACTTAGGTACTATTATAACTCACAATTCTAATTTATCTTTTCTGTCCAACACTTAAATTGAATCTTAACTTCTAGTCTATAAAGTTGCGGCTATTTATATAAAAATGTAACGGCCCAGAATGAACCAATCCTACGGGAAGAATCTCGAATCGTTCGCGATATGCTTTCCCTATGCGCCAGCGGCATACCTAGAAAATTCCGGTTTCGACCATGAGTCGGGTGGCAGACCTCAAGGTCGCGCTCTACACAGAGTCGGCTCAGGTATTCTCATGACAGTACATTGTTTAATCTGTGATATTATAAATTTAGATGCAAATTAAAAATAAAGAGATTATTTAAAAACATGTGATAGTATTACTTACAAAATTATCTTTGAAAAGAAATTCATGAAAACCATATGGTGGTATAAATGAATCGGTCATTTGAGAAACAGCACGTCAGTTGTAGATCATTTTTCAAAAAATAAGAAAAAGTGAAAATCTCAAAATATGGTTAAAAAAATAGTTTTGTACACTTAGCATTTAAAACTTGCTCTATTTTGGGTATAATACAATAATTTAAGCAAAAAAAAATAAAAGGGTAACAAATCATGGTTGATTAAAAATAAGTGGCATGTGATGTTTCTGAAATGAACATAAAAACTTAGTAAAAAGGGATATAGTTTTATTAATATGTATTCTTAAATTCATCAAAGTAGATTACAAAATAAAAAAATATTCATTGTTTTCATTTTCAGTTTCCGGCCAATTCAATATTTCGATATAAAAGTCATGGAGTTTATCGGGAACATTTTTTTTTTTAAATTCAAGTTATAATTTGTACTTAATTTGGTATTCGGATACTTTGTATTAAATAAATCGTACATAATATTCACGTTAATTTTTTCACTGAGATATTTTTCTATGCTACTATAGTAATTCTTGTGTGAAAGATCCTGATATGGTCCTCAATCTGACCAACTATATTTTCTGCAATTGTATTTCTAGAAGTACACTTGCTCCTTTTGTTGTAAGGTTGTTTTCCTCTGACGAGTAACTTAGTTAAACGTCGAACTCTTGCTATTGTAATTGCGTGAATATTGATAAAAGCCTTGCAAATCATAATTCGTCCAGAATAGGATGTTAAAAAGAAATTAAATAAGTGAGATTTCGGTTTAGGTCATTCCGAATTTCAAGCCATCAATGCTTCTAAATAGACATCCTGCTCATTTTTGGATGTCAAGAGTCAACATCTTTAAAGAATCTCTTGTTGGTGACCCTCAGAACATCGGTTTTAACACTTTAACTAACACCTGTTTTCACCGTTTTTTCGCGAAAACTACAACACCTTTGTAATTTATATATTCTTCAACATTAATTCTAGCTATTTTTATTATTTAGCACTTATATAACTTTCTGTTTACTTTTTTATTTACTAAAATAGTCGGAACACTATCAGAATCACTTTCGGCAGTTGACGCAATGGTTTTAAATAATTAGACACCACTGCGTTTAGAAAGAGCTATGAAGACTAGAGAAAGAACACATGTCAATGACTTGTGTTGTATCTAAATGTAATTAGATATTATGCATAAGTCATACGAATGTATATCGGGCAAGTGATCTTACTGTGTGGATAGATGTGTTTACCTTTAAATATTGTATTTTTGTAATAAAAACAAAATGGCCAAAAATGTGACTTGTCCTTTCTCAAATGACCGATTCAAATTACAAAATTCACCTTTGAATCAACTATTTTCAGAATAATAATAATATGTAGTAATAGATTAGAATATGCTAAACTATGTTTAATGCCTGTATTTACATTTTTTAATTTAATATGTTGAAATAATCCACCACTTTTTATAAATATTAAACATAGTACAACAGGAAGTAAAAATAAATACTGGACTGACTTTACGATTACACATCCAGTGAATGCCTAAAAATATGTCTTTCTGCGCTGTTTGAACTATTATTGGCTCTCACACTGTAGATTACAAATCACATCAAATTGGTGTAACTGTAACCTACCGCACCCAGGTACCTTAATAATTTATTAATTCCATTTATTAAATACAATGTTCCATTCTTTTAAATTCAAAATGCTTCATTTAACGAAAAAAATCTCCCAGATAATTAAATCTTATTTACGACACCTAATAAATAATATCTATAACCACGTCCGTAAAAGATGCACGTGGCTAAGTTCCTCGAGAAAGAAAACACCATAAAGTGTATTTCTGTTTACGAAGTAATTATCATTAAAACACTTAAGTCGCTTATTTTCCTAGTTTCGATGTTCAGACCGATATCGACAATATTTCGATACACAAAACTTTCAAGGCAAGTAATAAATAACCCACCCCCTTTTGCACCTACATTCGTATTTTCTATGAGAAACAAAACGATAGAGACGTCACAGAAACGATTAAACTGTGTATAAAAAGTCTGACGAAAATGAGCTCGGGGGCATTCAATTTTTATCATTTGATGTGCAAGCATACATTTTATTATCTGTACCCAGTTATATAATCTGTACCTTTCCTAAACGCTCCTCCTAAACGACGCCTATCCTACAATACCTCCTATCCCCGACGGTGTCAACGTCTCGATGCCAAACTTCCTGCCATCCTACTCCCTACGTCTCGAACGCTGTCACATTCCTCACCATCTAAGTATTTCCTACATACACTCATTTCGACGCTCAACGTCCCACGCCTTATTTCCGACGCTTTGCCGTCCATAATTATTTCCTTCATAATGTCACGTCCCGCACCACCTACTTAATTCTACCGTATATCTGTCCCAATACGGTGCCGTATTAAATACCTTCCCTTCCATCACGACGCTAGACGTCTCGACGATGGACGCCTCGACGCCCAACCCTGCGACGTACCTACATCGACGCCTTCCACGACGCTAGATGAAATTAGTACATAATTTAATGTCTGTATTTTCAATGGTGAGTCAAAAGATTTATTTAACCTTCTTTGAGATACCACCCCGGTTTCGTTTAAGGGCGGCCTGACATTTGCTGTAAAATATTATCAATTTAACCAATAAACCACATGGCCTTCAGGTCATACACCCCGAAAGATAGGATAACATCTGTTTTGGATGGGTGAAATTTGGAGTATTTTAATAGAAATAATAAAAATCAATATTAAGAAATATACAGGGTTATATTAAGTTATTTCAATAGAAATTATAATAATCAATATTAAGAAATATGCAGGGTTATATTAAGTTATTTCAATAGAAATTATAATAATCAATATTAAAATACATACAGGGTTGTATTAAGTAATATCAATAAAAATTATAAAGATCAATATTTTGGAAATATACAGGGTTGTGCTATCTTGGATAAATTGTACAAACCAAGATGGTAAAATTTAATAGTAAGTTAACCAACTGGTGAATACGCTGTTCGTTAGCTCAAGGGGGGACACCTATACGCTAAGCAACCCGTTCTACAAGGTTTGAAACAAAGTATATGTGAAATCAACATAGTAAGGTAATCAACTGGCGAATTGGCGCTGTTTGTTACTTCCGTTGGTCATCACCTCTATACTCATCGTAATATTTACCTAAGAGGGTGCAACCTGTATATATCTACAATAGAATCAAATCAACATCAACTCAATAGTTAATCAACTGGCGAATTGGCGCTGTTCGTTAACTTCGTGGGTCATCAACCTAAATCAGAATATAAACAACAACACTATAGTTAATCAACTGGCGAATTGACGCTGTTTGTTAACTCTGTTGGTCATCAACCTAAATAGGATATATATTGATAGCAAATGAATATGGTCTGCGTTTGAACGGGACTCAAGTGAGATCTCAGTAAATAGTAACAATTGTAAAATACTTTGCTAATTATTGCATCACATTTAAAGTATGAAAAATAAAAAAGAGTTTAAATATAAATTTGTATGTTTTATTTATCAATTTGCACCAAACTTTGCATCGAATTCTGGTTTACCTTAATTAACATTATCACAACGTGGGTACATAAATTATCAATTAATTAACTAGACGATCACTTCTACTACTAGAGGAAAAAGGCCAAATACAGTAAGTAAAGAATTTAAAGTAAAGTAAAACTTGTGAGGTAAATAAATAATAACAATTTAATAGAGTAAAACCAAGAACAAATCAAAAAGAAGAGAGGGGGCCTGGGGGCGGGCCGTCACATAACGCTGGAATAATCCCGCCTAGGAACATTTGTTTAAACATTTATATTACAATTTAGACAACTTCCTAAAGAATTTTTTTAAACAAATTTTATTTTAACCAGGGCTGGTATATCTAAGGGGGTCGCGACATAGGAGTCCATTTTGGACGCCATTTTTTTCGAAATAGTAGTCGCCATTGATCTGGCAACGTGGCAACTTGTAGTCGCCAGGTTTACCAATATAAGAAAAAAAATCAATGTCATTTCTTAAATGACATTTCCATTATAAAATGCCCATATTTTTTAGGATAAAATATTTCAATTTAATAAATTATTAATCTCAAATGTACATAAAATACGTCGGGAAAAGTAGATCACTTTCAATTTTGTGCTGTTTTAGTTTTGTTTATTTTAAAAGGTAATTGAAGACATGAAGACAATTTTCTTATAGATAATGCATAACAAATTATTACTCCCTTTTTTAGAGCTCCAGTCCCTTAAGTCTATTTATTTTAGGTCTTTTTAAATTGTTGGTAGGTATTATTCACTTCATTTGTATGTTTTTAGTTAATTTAAACAATTTTGTGTAATATCTTGCCATTTGTTTTCTATACATTTTAGGATGTATTATTTGTTGTCTACATCTTACAAAGGATGGATTTGAAATACCTTTATAACAGAGGTACTTTCCTAAAACTAGCCGAAATTTGAAACTGAATACAGTTCTTAGAGAAAATCTCCAGTAAAAAATGTCTGCATACAGAATAACAGTAGCATAGATTAACAAAGCTGACAAAAGAGTTGGACAAACCTTTGTCTAGCTTTTTTAATATTTCAGGACAATAGTGTTAACAGCAGACTACAACAAAAACATCCAAAGTTTAGTAATCAAGCAAAATATTCCGGTATCTATATTTTTATTCAAAACTTTTGTGCTTCTACTCCAATACTAACCATATAGAAGCATATGCATTTTATAGTTTTTGCAAGATTCAGATCAAATGTACCCACAATTTATAAAGATTATTAAACTAAAATAAAACATTTCAAATAACACTTGTTTTTATGTTAAATATGTTTTTATTAAATACATAAATTAGTCTCAACCACACATTTTTTTTTGTTTTTACTTCTAGTGTAAAACTGACTACTAATTCAGTCTTTCAAGTTTATTATTTATAGAGACCAGCTACTACAAAATATCTTATTGATGATAACTAATTCCTCTTTAATAATGGTTTTGCATTTACTAACATTTTACAGCACTTTGTTTATATGAAACCTCTATTTAACTCTTAATTAAATCACATTTAAATCAAGTAATTACATTTTCATATTCAACTTATGTATTCTTATTAGAACTTGGTCACTTTTTTTTTACTTTGAATCTTTTGACTGTGGTAACAGTCCATTCACCAAACCACAGTCACTTAAAAATGTTGAAAGAGAATGTCATAAAGGTAAAATTCCTTCTTCTATCATGTTTTTCATGCAATTTTAGGTTGTAAACGTTTTGTCCAACACCTTTTTTACAATTTATCCCAAGCAACACTATGAAAGATTTAAATCCTGGATTTACAGCATTCAGTTTTGAGATGAGTGCAATCACAATGTAGTTTAAGAGATAATTTTCACATGAACACTTATTTACCACAGCACAAACGCATGTACCTATTCATGTAACATTAAAATAAAATGGAAACAAATTGCATAATTTGGTATATAAAAAAGTACAAAATGTTTTTAGTTTTAATTCGACATTGGACTACGAGGAAAACAGTGGTTCATTCCACTTGTACCATATTGACATTATTATGCTCGATGCTCGTTCAAACGAACGTCAGAAAAGTGTTGCCAACTTAAGCTGACTACTATTTCCCCCCTAGCCTCAGTCACCCCCTCATCCATTTACTGGGTCTATGTCGCGACCCCCTTAGATATACCAGCCCTGATTTTAACCTCTACATTTTTAACTCCTTACCTTAAAAGATGAAGAGACCCCATATGGCTTTTTAACAATAAATTAAGTTTATTTGCAAACGATTTCAGAACCATTTTTATATTGGGTGACTGAAAAGTGCTCAATTCACTCCAACCTCTTGTCTGGATTCCATTTGGACAATGCATTGTACAATATTGAGCGAAAGTCTAGAAATAAAACAATGTCATTTTAGTCAGAAAACAAAAACGTGTCAGCTCTCAGAATAAGTCATTGCAGGTAGTTTTTAATTACAATTTAATTGGGTTTTATCAGCTCAGATTAAGAAAAAAAATTTTTTTTAACAAAAGGTAGAATAAAAAAAGTTGCAATGCATTCTTACCCTGCTTAAATTGGGAGAAGGTGATGTTTTTACTTCCTCATTTAAAGATATAACCCTAGATCCCAAATCTTCGGTAATTTTACAAACATCCTTTAATTTGTTAACTTCAGAAACAGAAATTGTGCAATTATATCTTGATTCCAATAAACCAATAAATTTAAAAAGTGGCATGCATTTATCAGGTACTTCCTAAAACATAAAATACTTTTAAGGGCTAATTTATTACACAATAATTTTCGTTATAATTGATAATATTCAAATTGAATTAAAATATTAAAAGAAATAAAGAACGATTTCTGGTTCACTGAAAATTGGTTTCAATTTTATTATTTAAATAAAACTTAAAAAGAGTCTAAAGTGAATAGTTATAATGCGAATGAGGTGTATGTCTTCTTTTAATTTATGATAATGAAAAAAGTGTAAGGGTAATTAGAACTTCATAATCATTTATTTGTGTACCTATGTAAAGCTCTTCTATATTTTTGAAAATTACATAATTAGAATATGCTTAATATTTAAAACAGTAAAGATTATAACCAGTAATTTCAAATGTTTTTAAGAGCATTGGTGGAAATTAATAATAAACAGAAAATTGAACTTACTTGTAATAATTCTATTACCATAGCTTTGAGTTCCTCAGGATAAGGCGAGGTACTTTGAGCATAAGATATGATTATTCGTTTGTGGCCTAGCTTTTGCCTATGTAACTGGGATATTGTAAATTGAGCTTCTCTTTGCCCATTAACTCTAATATTGGCTATAGGAGTACCATCGTTTTGAACTGTTATATTTAAGCTTAATATCTAAAAAAGGAATTAACTTATGTCCGGTATTAACAAGAAGAGATGAATAAACATACATAATACTCATATTTTACAACTAAGATGAAGAATTTGAGCACATTTTTTGTTTAATGTGCAATCGTACATACAGGGTGGCCCAGAGATAACAAGAAGAGATGTAACTACAAATATCGTGAGGTCCTGAGTAAGACATATTCTAAGGGACACATGAGGGTATAATATAGGCTGTTGTCATGCATATTTCATTATTTTAGTTTTGTTTACAAAATTATTTACATATCTTAAAAAAGCTAAAATTATTCAACCTATTTTATCGCAACTGAACCCAAAAATTTTTGAATCATTAGTTACTATATAAAATTTAGATTAGAAGTAATAATTTTCAATAAATTCCAAAACTTGTTATTGCATGTTATGTTGGATATCAAGTATTTTTTACGAGATGTGGCAACAGCTAGCATTTTGTAGGCGGGGCATATTACGTTGTTTATTAAGAGCTTACATAACGGCTAACAAAATATTCATTCATCATTTCTACAACTTGTTTTGACAGTTGACGTTGTAGAGATTGTTTAGTATTATTGTTCATCGGTTTTTCTCAGTTCTTTCTTGTAAAAGTGGTTTTCTGTTATTTTGTTAAAATACAGACTTTAAACATGGTGAAACAGTGCAAATTATTCGTTTCATGTGTAAGTATTTATAGGTTAGAATTTACTTATCATAGACGTACCAATTACGAAAAATATCTTATATATTTTTAAATTATTAATCTTAATTAAACTACAGGTGAATACGCATGTAATTACTTCTATAATATATTCTGTGCGTTTTGTTTACTACATCTGTGGAATGTGTTTGTGTCTGCTTTCCATAATATTCGTAGGTAAAAATATATTCAACCATACAAGACAAGTCAAAAAATCCTGAGCGAATCATGTACTTACCATTTTTTTTTCAGACCTTGCACATTTTGACATAATATTAGATAATCAACTCTAACGTTATGGAGGCATAAAAAATAAATAATTTTTTTATATATTTTTATAAAACTAGCTAGGGATTGTGACAAATGCATTAACAAAAATTACCGTTATAACCAATGTGTAAAATTTAAATTCTTACCATAGCATATTCCTTGAGCATGTTAGTAAGAAGTCTTTTGAGTTCTTTGAGTTCCATGGTTGGGTCCAAATTAGATATTATTAAATCTACAGGATGATTTGGTTGTTGGTTTTTTCCATCGTTTTCACTAGAATACCCCATCTAAAAATGTATATATACAGGGTGAGTCAATTACTGTAGTTCGGGACAGATCAACTAAACTAGGACATTTAAAAAAAAAAGTTCAAATTCTATATTATACAGTTCCAAAGAAGGAACATTTATAAAATTTGACTTAACAGGGTCCACAGAACCAAAATATGGGAACGATGAGAATAAAGTCTAGAAAGTTTAAATTGAACGAAAATTATCATGATAATTTTAGCTATACTATACTGATACTTTTTATCAGCGCCTGGCCTAAATCTATCACCTCTACTTATTTTGAAACAACTACGGAACACTGGTGTGCAAGTAGAATTTACATTTAGCCTTTTTTTTTTAAATAAATGAAACTCTAAATCTATACCACATACAATAGTTTAATAAAATATTCGGCAAGCAGTTTCGGCTATAAAATTATTTTCAAGCCTGTAAATTACAGAATATCACCACATTTAATAAACCGTTTGTTACTGGCGTGGGTTATTTTTGCTTCAATTCCTACACTACACATTTTTTTAGCCGTTAACATATATGGAATCTACTACGTGTATTCCATTCCAACCTTTTTAGAATGTCTTCTAGGGACGATGGAAAGCCTATACATTCAAAGGCGTTAATGATGTAATTTTTTAGTGTCCGACCGAAGGTTTGTTTTCAGTTTCCGTTTCGGCCTAAAATAAGCGTTTCAGCGGTTTGAACTAATTTCTTAAAAAATCGAATTTTGCACTTTTTGTCAAATTTCTCGAATGGAGACAATTTTAGAGAAATCATAGGTTTGTTCCCAATTAGATGTTACGATTAGTTTGCAATTAGTACTTGAACTGACCTAAGCGCATGTCATACATGAACTATGTTACAAATTAGTAAAAAGTTTTGTTCTATTGGGAACACTTATAATGGAAATTGTCATGAATGACATTAGAGGTTGGGTAAATTGTCAGCTGGATATAGCCCCCGAAAAAAAGAAAGCCTACCTAAATAGCTTTCGTTTTTTTTTCTGGGCTCTGCATACATTACAAAAAACTCGTCTTCTTCTTCTTCTTAATCACTCGAATCACTACTTGACGGAATACTGTCTTCGTCGCTCATTTTTATAAAAATACCAACAATAACAATAATAATTATCTCTACACGAGTATTATTAAGGCGAGTTCGGATAGGCAGGGGCTGGAGCGGGACAAATTTTAGGGTGCTTTTAAATGACATTTAAGCGTGTTAAACTGTCACTAATCGGACTAAACCGAACGCTAAAAGGGTCGTTTGGAGTTAAAAGTGTTAAAGGAGTTAAAGGAACGTGGCAGACCGAACGCAATGTTAGTCGCCAAATTATCAATAAAAAGTTGGGTTAAGTTTACCGAATGTAGATGGAGATCGTTTTGAGCATGCGTTAACTTTTCGTACATGCTTTTTAGCAAGGACTGTTTTGATCATACGCAAACTAATTAATGTGGAACAGCCAACCCATCGTGCATGTACTATCTAAAAGTGATTGGGAACACTTTTATGCTATTGCGCAATTGCAAACTATTCTCGTACAATCCAAACTGCGATTGGGAACAAACCTCATGTATAGGACAAAAATTATATAGAATCAAATCACAAGCAATTTTTATTTCACGAATTTTCTTCTCCCAAGCCTAAATAACAGATATATTCCATAAGGTAGAAAAACGACCCTCTATAAAGTAGCCCCAGATGCTGAATTTAAAGCTTAAGTTTAAAAATTTGTGTTTTTCTCTTTATCCGTTTTTGAGTTATCGTGGATATAGACGCACACATATAGACATCAATAGTCAAAACGGATTCAGGGGACCCCAAAACGTAAAAATCCATTCGAGGTCGAAAAAATCATGATTCTTACTTTCCTTCTGTATAGAGGCAGGAAACAATTACTAGTTTATAAAAACTGCCAATATAAAATAAATAAATTATGTCAAAAAGTTTGACTACCCACTTGTTTATCTGTTTATAATTGGTCATAAACATTATGCCATTTATTGGTGGAGTTAGAAACTTGAAAATCATTTCTAGTGATGATTCTAGGACACATAGTTTCTGAGATATAGGCCGTATCCTACAGAGTCCAACAACAGCTGGCGTCCTTTTTTATTTGGACATACTTTAATATTAGTGAATGTCGTTTTTACTTATATTTAAATTTATAAATTATGTATAGAGCCTTCAATAATACCCGTATCCCACGTGATTAAATTGACGTCATCATATGGCTAAAAGTAACAATAATTTATTAGCAGTAACCCTAAAACAATGTCACTGACCTATTTGACAGAATTGATACTTAGTCATTAAGAACGGCCATTTTTATTAAATAGTGTTTTACCAGATCATGTGGGATACAGTTATTGTTCAAGACTCGTTACTTTACACAAGGAATCAATCTAAAAATAGTCCGGATCGAGCACTTGATTTTCATGCTAACGAGTGACTACCCAAAACGAAAGTCCCCAACTTCAATCAAATTTTAGGTAGCTGTTTACTTTATAGCTATCCACACACAACTTAAATTAAAATGTAACATTCTGAACAAATCGTAAAAATGTTGATTGTTAAATAATTAATACATACCTTTTGTTCATCACTGGTATACTCTGAACTGCCGCTACTCTTGTGGATTCGTGTTGGTGCATTTCCTACAGCGTTCAATAGAAGTTCCTGAGGCGTGGGGCATCGTTGAATCTTCCTACCCAACCACTGTCCGTCGTAACTGATATCCATTGGAGATACAGAAGATGCACCTCTTATGGGCCTGAAAGCGCATTTGTCAACTAGTTGTTGGATTTCTAGGTTACTGGAATTCTAAAAATATATATATACCTATATATTAGAAATTGCAAGAGTTGTAAATGTTGCAAACAAAAAAAATGGGATAAATCAGATTTCGCTATGTATGTTTATTTTCATACTTTTTTGAGGAGCACCGTTGCTTTAGAACAGGCTCAACTCAAAATTGAGTCAAACTCGGCCTTTGTAGTCATCATTTTATTTCAGTCGTTTTTTTACGTTTATCAGCGCATTGTGGCTAATATTATGTTTGTCCTAATTAATCCTTATTAACATTGCATTCTTTATACATTTTATTAACAAGTAATGTAATCCCCAATTGTCGTCAGAGATTTAAAAGGAACTCTTTATACTTTATAGTGTATGTTTCAGAAATACTTATGAATACAAAATAATAATATCCTCTGTACAATGCAGTAATACTAAATTATTTGACAAAATATTATTTTTTTTAATATGCGCTTCATTTGAAAGAAATTGAAAAGCAGAATTTAAAAATGTAAAGAAAATATATTTTTGTCAGGGATTAAATTAAGTTTTGTTTTTACTGAAATTCTACTTTATCATGGTGATATTTGTTACTATTGAAAATTTATAGATACTTACCTTTATTAACATTATAATTAATTTGAGATGGTTATGTCACATAAGATCTTAAGTGTGATCAATTTTTGCTATTCAGATTCAAACCCTTTCAAAAAAATCTGATGTGTCCAACACATGACTTTCCTATCTAGTTATTATAGGCTTTTCCGGTTATTTTGTACAACCTATTGCAGCATCTCTATAAATGTTTAGAGGATAAACTAAATATATACATTGTCCACATACATCTACCTCGAAACATTTTTCTATAGATATTCATGGAAAACGAAAATACTTAAAAATTTAAATTTCCTACAATTTTTTCATTACGGTCCATTTTAGAAAAATCATGTATAAACAAAAATTATAGAGATCGATATCGCAAACAACTTTTATTTCAAAAACTTTCATAAAAATCAGAATTTTGCACATTTTGTCAAATTTCTCGAATACGGACCATTTCAGGAAATTTTTACATGAAACAAAAATTATAGATAATAATATTAGAAGTAACTTTTATTTGAAAAATGTTTTTCTCCAAACATTAATAACAGATATATTCCATAAAATATAAAAACGGCCTCCCATAAAGTACCCCCCCCCCCCCCAGATGTTCCGACTTTGTCCAAAATCTAATCATTTCACGTCAGGCCGAAATAAACCTTAAGTTTAAAATTTAATGTTTTTTTCTTTATCCGTTTTTGAGTTTTCTTCAAAATTCGAAATGTACACATTTTCTCAAATATCTCGAATACGGTCCATTTTAGAGAAATTATGTATAGAATAAAAATTATAGAGAATTATATTACAAACAACTTTTATTTGAACAATTTTTATAAAAAATTATTTTTTTTTACATTTTGTCAAATTTCTCGAATACGGACCATTTTAGAAAAATTTTGTATAAAACAAAAATTATAGATAATTATATTAGAAGTAACTTTTATTTGAAGAATTTTCTTCTCCAAACGTAAATAACAGATATATTCCATAAAATATAAAAATGACCACCTATAAAGTACCCCCCCAGATGTTCCGACTCTGCCCAAAATCTAATCAGCTCATTGGACGTTGAAACAAAGCTTAAGTTTAAAATTTGGTGTTTTTCTATGTATCGGTTCATGAGTTATGCGTTATACAGACACACACACACACACACACACACACACACACACACACAGACACACACACACACACACACACACACACACACACACACACACACACACACACACACACACACACACACACACACACACACACACACACACACACACACACACACACACACACACACACACACACACACACACACACACACACACACACACACACACACACACACACACACACACACACACACACACACACACACACACACACACACACACACACACACACACACACACACACACACACACACACACACACACACACACACACACACACACACACACACACACACACACACACACACACACACACACACACACACACACACACACACACACACACACACACACACACACACACACACACACACACACACACACACACACACACACACACACACACACACACACACACACACACACACACACACACACACACACACACACACACACACACACACACACACACACACACACACACACACACACACACACACACACACACACACACACACACACACACACACACACACACACACACACACACACACACACACACACACACACACACACACACACACACACACACACACACACACACACACACACACACACACACACACACACACACACACACACACACACACACACACACACACACACACACACACACACACACACACACACACACACACACACACACACACACACACACACACACACACACACACACACACACACACACACACACACACACACACACACACACACACACACACACACACACACACACACACACACACAGACATCATCGCGAAAATAGTCAAAACGGATTCAGGGGACCTCGAAACGTAAAAATCCGTCGAAAACTCGAGGTCGAAAAAAATCATGATTCCTATACTTTCCTTATATCTGTATACAGATAGGAAAGTAAAAAGTGTCATACGATATTATCCATTTAATGCTACTTGAAATTATTAATGACAAAAATAAATTAATAGCAAAACATTCTTCTTTTTAATTTTTTTATTATTTAGACTAAAATGTATCACAATTCTATATTTAGAGCTATATTTTTATCGTTGGAGAGCTTGGAGAGCAATCAAAATATAATTTTCAAGATTTTCAATATACAAAACCAATTAATAATAAAGGTACTGTTAGCCAATACTATTTTCTATTTTACTATAAGAACCTCAAAAAAAATGCTGTATTACCTGAAGAGATCTTTTAACTTCCATGGAAAAGCTTTGAGTATTTTGACTATCTACAATAAAACCTGGTGGAGGAGCAATACCATATACGTGAGATGGTTCTGCATTTTTCATTTTATGACCTAAAAAACAATATTAAGTGAAATATACTGCATACAATTGTATATAAAAATATTTTCAATTGATCTAGATAGACTTAAAATTTATAATAAATGATCTGTAGAACAAGTTCTTCAAATACAAAGCTGCAAGATATTTTTTAATATGACAATTCATATTTAAAATTCTATTATTATTGATCATAAACAGAATGTTTTGGGTATTCATTTATCGTACTTAGATATTTTCAAATCCAAAATGTGTCACTATTTTGGAAAGTCTCCAAATATCAATTTTCTTTTAGCTTGTTCGGTTTTTGGACATAAATATCCTTAAATCAAATATAATCACTGGAAAATTATAAAACCTCTGTTTATTTTGAACACCAATTTTCATGTTTATAACCTTCAAATAGATCTTTTAGGTTGCAGTGCATTAATACCCCATACATAACATACAGTTCGGTTTCATTAAAAAAAGCCATCTTCAATTTTTACCATTCTTAACTAGATTTTCGAAAAATGGCTGAACATGTGTGTCTTTATTTTGAAAGAAAAAATTCCAAATCGACTTAACACCCATGAGTTTTGAGATTTAGGTGAAAAATTCAAATGGTTGAATAGGTTTTTGAGACATCTTTCATATGAGGTGTCACTAGCCATATGATCCTATTTAAAATTAGTTGTCAAAATAACAATGTGTCGTCATATAAGGTGATTGTCACTAGTTAGAAGTAGAAAATCAGTGTGTATCAATTTAATACAACCCAAATTATATTAATTTTATTATTACACACACACACACTACTGTAACTACTATTAATCAGTTGTACACGTTCATTAATGGTACAAATTATGTAATGAAGACATATTTATTTAAATAAAATTGAGTATTCCATTCTTTAAAACTTCCACGAATTCAACAACAAACTCAAAAATTAAAAGTAAATTTAATTATATGTGCTACGCTGCATATAAAAAATGAAAAGGACCCACAAATAATATGTTGATATATCCAGACACTTTTGACTGGAATATGCAGAGTTTTAATGATTACAGAGACCAATAAATAATTATTTCAATTATTTTTCCGTTTGCAATAAATGTTTAAAAGCAGCATTTCATCTGTAAGAGTATTTGTTTACACCTCTATAAACAGTAATTATTACAATTTTATAAAGAATTTGCAAAAATATATGGCTTTGGCAGTTGCATTCAAAATTAAAACATTTTTACTATTAAAATGTCTGATAAGCATCCACACTATGTTTTAACATGTAAAACGTGTCAAAATACTGTTTAAATCTTTTAGGTTTTTGATATGTACTTTAAAAATGTTTTAATAACAAGTTAATTAAACAAAGATAACAAAAATTAAAAAAATACTTACGTACGTTTGGTACATACAGGGTATTAGTATATTCGACCGATAACGCTCTATCCCAGAGAGCTCTCGTTAATTGATGAATTTTGATATAGGAATATGACACCTTAAAGGGCTTAGTTACCGAAATACAGGGTGTAAAAAGTTTAAAATAAAAATTTGCCATAAATCATGAGCGCCTTTAAATATTTTATTGATCTTTTAAAATACACGAACTATTAAAAATTTGACACGTGCCTACAAGATTACAATTTAGAAATATTGGAACGTTACAAATGATGTACATTCAAATTTCTACAACACCGTTAATTTTAGCTCCATAAAAGGTTTTTACTTTTTTAACTAAAAATGAACAGAGAATTTAAAAAAATAAATAAAAAAATGTTTGTTCCAGGGGCGTAAAAAATAAGGGGGAGAAGTTGCCTCTAACCCTGCTAGCGCGCCACTGGATAATTTTTTTTAAAAATTAGTTTATGTCAAAATATTACTTTCTTAAAGAGCAGCATATTGGGCACCAAATTTGAAAAAATTATTTAAAGGCATTTTTTATTTATGGCAAATTTTTAATGTTGATTCCAAATTTTTACATCCTCTATCTCGGTAACATAAGCCCTTTAATGTTCCTATATCAAAATCAATCAATGAACGAGAGTTCTCTGGGGTAGAGCGTTGTCGGTCAAATACACCCTGTAATATGTACTTTGAAGTATATAGTCGTGGATAGTTCGTTCATACAGGATGTAACAAAAAATATATACAGTAAATCCCTTCTACCTTGTTTAGACAGTTAAAAACAGGACGCCACTGAAATCCCCGGAAGGAAGGTCATAGTGAAAAATACTCACAATAATGAAATTGTTCTATTGATTTTAAACCATTGAATATTTGTTCACGATTTTTTTTACTATTGTACAACTTCATGGATGATCGATGATATAAGGGAATAAAATAAAATTTAAAATTGTAAAATAGTAAAAAAATATGGTGAACAAATATTTAGTAGTATAAGATGAATAGAAAAATGTATTTTTCACTATGACCTTCGATCTCGGGCCAATAACTTAGTAATTAAGGCTTTTACAAACAAATACTTAAGAGTGAAAAAGTAAAAGCAAATAATAATTTCTACTTTAACACCCTGTAACTTTTTTATATGCAAGTTAGCTTAAATCGACTTATTTTCGACACCAGTAACTGTGTTTAAATTCACTGTACATCTTTTTGTTACTGTGTACGTATATACTGCACCTTCCCAGACCGTAATGCCAATGGGTATTTCAATAGACCTTTAATACATTAGAACACAATTTGAATACGTGAAATAAACACTCGTTGAAAATTTGTTTTTTTTTTGTCAGCCGTATTATGTGTTTAAACAATCATATAGTTTAATAAATATGTATATACTCGTTTTAATAAGTTAGGAGCAGGACAGGAAATATTTTAAAGATCTATTCATTTGAATCTTTCTGTCATCCAGTGACTCATAAAAAATCTAAAGAATAAAGTACTTCATCGGCAAAAAACTATCTTTTTTCAATGATAAATTTTCAATAAAGTTTTCCTAAAATCCTAATGAGCCTCAACTGCAAAGTTTAACTTAAAATAAACATAATATATATCTTAAAATACTTTTCCGACATTGCGGTTACACAATCATATTTAAAAAAAAATTATCCAGACCGACGATGTTCTAAAACATAGAGACACACTATGATTAATGATTGTTCTTTGATCTTCTAATATTTTCTAAATGTTAACAATAAAGAACAGAAAAAGAAAAGAAACAATCTTACCTGCATAATTTCGTAAAGCTGGTGATAAAACTTTTATTTTATTACCAAACACATCCTCTCCTTGTACTCTTCTTTGTGCCCTATTAGATAAAAGAAAAATTACCTCTATAACATTATTTCACAATATTTTTATAAATGTTAAGAGTCAAATACAACTCTGGTAAAAAAATAGATTAGACAATACATTTTAGAAACGGCATACCTATAATCTTTTTCATATGGCTTATAATGTGCCATTTTTTAACAAATGAACAATCACTTCATTAAAATAAAATTAATATAGTCCTATAAAGACCTTTCAACACTAAACCGAATTTTATTGCCGATATTGAAAACCGCTTTTTGTATTATTTTTTATTTCAAAAGAAAAAAAAAGAGATAAAACATTCGGAAATAGTAAATATGATACAATGTGGCGTATTTTTGGTGTTTTGTGATGTTTTAAAATTGTATGACAAATGAACAGAGCAAGAAAATTTTGAAAAACTGAAAGGAAATTTTACATTGTTGCAAAGATAAGAAATTCAACATAATATAAGGTGGGCTTAGCATATATTTTATAATATTAAGATTATCTACATATTATTATACCTAACTCTTAACAGTGAATAGTATTTAATTTTAGGACAGTAACTGCAGCATTAAACAATTAATTTTATTAAGAAATTTAGCCAATTGTATTTTATTGTCTTGATACGAATAATGTTATTTTTATATACTTACTGTAAATTAACGGGCCTCTTTATAATAACCATTTTTTTGTAAGAAAATTGATGGATATAAAAGGATGTATTTCAAACAACGTTGATATTTTAATGGCAATTATTTGTTTTGTAAAGTGAAAAGTTCATATAAAATTATCAGGGGCTCGAGGAGAAATGGCGAAAACTACATATAGCACTCAAAAGATGGCACCAGAAAACTTTTTTTTTTAAATTTTTCTACAGTTTATTCTATCAAAATATATACAGACTTAGATACTCCTATTTTTTAATATCAAATGGCCATGTAATTGCTTTACATTTTATACTCAATATGCTATTGAATTACTACATAAAAGAGCTTATTTTATCAAATTTACGTTGGAGAAAAACATGTTCAAATAAAACATTACAGCTTTTGTTAAAATTATTAAACAAACAAAAATGTTTCTAATACAAAAGTAATGTATCTTACAATAAACGTACTTAATGACAATATAAAAAATATCGGGTTCTATTTATACTATTTATTAAATAGAATATAGATTCTTTAAATAAGTGAAGAATTGCCTTTTTATGAGAACATTTGTTTCTTCAATAATTTCAGGCACATATTTGTAATGTTTTCAACGTCATTAGAAGCTTCTAATATAAAAAAAAATTAAAAATAACTTCTTTTAATAGAACACAATGTACAAATTTGGTGCATTTACAGTGTCATAATTAATGACATTTTTCATCGTAAACACCAAAAGTCATGTTGATTTCACGTACAATAAATACACTCTGTGAAACATCTTAATAAAATATGTCGTACTTAAGATACATTGAAACGTATAAATAAGTACTAAGAATATATTATGTCTTTCTGAAATTATGTCTCTTAATAAATCATTTAAATTTATAAAATTATACAGGATGTTTCATAGTGAAATGTACATATTATATTAATTGTAGGTGTGTGACACTTCTATGATTCGAAATCAGTTTATAGGTAGATAGATATATTTATTCACCATTTTACACAAACAAAATATTTATAGCACGTCAGAAAATTTAAAAATAATAATTCCTAGTAACAATAGAAAATTTTAAAGCAGTTAAGTTTAAAAAAAAACAGAATACAATAATACAAAAAAAAAATCATATTTAATAAAGGAATGTGGATACCTAACTCCTTATTAGCTCCTGTTAGTCCTGTTACAGAACTCCTTAAGAGAATATGGGCATAATTCGACTAGATCTTTTAAAGATTTTTGAGTTGACATGGAACTGTAATGATATGGTAATGTTTTATACAATTTTAAACATAATATTGTTGGTGATTTAGTGCCTATTGCAAGACTTCTGAAAAGAATATGAAACTTGAAGTTTTGTCTTGTATTATATGAATGGATATCATTGTTTTGCAAATAATCTTTATTTTTATGTATATATTTTAGAAGTTCTAGAATAAATACTTCATATACAGTAAACATTTTTTTTGTTTTTATATAACATTCGACCAGAGTGGCTTGGTGGAACTCGAAAGATACACCTAATAATGCGTTTTTGGGATAGAAATACTTCCTCTATATAGCTAGAAGCACCCCATCTGTAATACCATATGTTATAGAATGAATTTCAGCAAAATAAAATCGTTTAATATGTTGTAAATGTAAGGTGTTTTAAAGATTTCTTATTTGATAACACCTTGCTGTTTAAAAGTTCTAAACGTAAACAATTTGTTGAAATTTATTTATCATTATTTTCAATTTGGATGTTATTTCTGTTGAAATATTTAGATTTGGTACATTAGTATTTTGATAATTATGAAATTTCACATATTTAGTCTTGTTGGTATTAAACAACAGACATGCATCAGAAGACCTCACAGAGAAACTATTTAATGATGTACAGATTCTATCTTGTAAAACATTGTGGTTTTTAACAGAAAATAGTAAATTTGTGTCATCCGCATATGATGTAACAAGGCATCTGTAATAATTAGTGGTAAATTGTTTACATAAATGGTAAACAGGATTGGTCCCAAAATTAATCCCTGAGGTACCCTCTGATATTAGAAAGTTCAGATGAGTAGTTGTTTCGTCCACAGTTTCTTATTTTAACTTTTTGTTGTCACGCTGTCAAATAAGACTCAGACCAATCATGTAGACTACCTCTGGTACCATATCTGTAAAGTTTATTCATGAGAATTTTATGCTGTACACAGTCAAAAGCTGTTTGAGTAGAGTGATTATTACAAAAACCATGTTGATTATCCATTATAATCCAATGTTTCGTTAGATATTGATTGGTTTATCATATCTCATTATGTAGATAATATGATGGATTTCGCCAAATTTTTTATTTGTCCAAAACTCATCAACTCTGTATAAATATTTCAAATTTAGCAGGTAGACTTTCTTCAATTTAACAAAAATGTAATAGAAAGCCTAATTAAAATTCAGGTCTGACTAAACAAAATTTGACTATATTTTTCCACCTCAAAAATAACTCCCTGTATAACAAAATTTTACATCAATGCATTTCAAACGACCGAAAAAAAATATGTGAATTAGGATCTTTTCAAATTTGCGCATTTTATTAAAAGCTCTAACAAATTATTTTATTTGTCAACTTCAAAATGTAAATAGTTTAGTGGCTGCGCTACATTTTATCTATGGCCTCTCTTCAAAAAATTAAGATTTGTAACAATCTGAAATACTAGAACAGCACATACGGATATGGCCCTAGGTATGTTAAAGTTGTGTTTGCCATACATATTGCCTTATTTGACACATATCCTAAATTGTTGTATAATTGAATGCTATTTTCCAATAAATTGGAGAACTGCCTGTGTAGATCCACTTCCAAAGGTGCAAACACCGAAAGACATTTCCGAAGTAAGAACAATAAGTAAGTTGTCTGCATTGTCTAATATTCTAGAAAAATTGGTGTATTTTCAAATGGTAGAGTTTCTATCTATCAATAATATTTTCGTAGGAAATCAATCTGGCTTTAAAGCTGGACAGAGCACAGTTACTGTCCTAATAATATATTGCAAGCCACCGATCAGGGAAAATTAACAACCTTGGTTTTAATAGACTTCAGTAAGGCGTTTGATACCCTGGGTAGAGAACTTCTGTTAGCTAAGCTTCATTATTATGGATTTTCAGATAGAAATATAAAGTTATTAAAGAGTTACCTGTCCCACAGGTGTCAATACGTGTCGATTGAAAATGTTGAGTCAAGCTCGAGATTAGTAAATAAAGGTGTACCACAGGGCTTCATCCTTGGTCTTCTTCTTTTTCTAATTTATACAATGGATTTAAGTAGCAATTCTGTTGACTGTAATATTGATCAATTTGCTGATGACACTCAAATCTATAGACAGTTTTTAAGTATAGAGGTAGGTACAGCCTGTGTGGATATAAATCAGACGTTATCAAACATATCTGAGTATTCACGTAGACATGGATTAAAACTCAACCCATCTAAGACACAAGCCATTTGTTTTGGTAATATAACAGAAACTCTGAGAGATAATCTAAATATATCAATTGACAATGTAAAAATAGAGCTTTACAATACAGTAAAAAGTCTAGGAGTTCACATTGACACCAAAATTAGATTTAAAACACATCTTAAGCATGTTATTCAGAAGTCCTGCTTTGCGTTAAAGAATCTATATCACAGCCGATCATTTGTTAATGTGTCACTAAGAAAACAGCTTTGTGAGTCATTAGTGCTAAGTCATACTAACTATGCTGATATAGTGTATGGTCCATCCTTAGATGCTGACTCATCAGCAAGACTTCAACGAATCCAGAACTCCTGCATTAAGATCAAGAGATCACATTTCACATAAGTTAAAGGAGTTAGGATGGCTTAACATGTATAATAGACGTAAGCTTCACATTGCAAGTCAGACTTACAAAGTACTAAAAACTGAAATTCCTACATATTTATTCAAAAAGTTAACTTTTAGCTCAGAAATTCATAACCGCGTCACTAGAAACACAGGTCTACTTGTTGTACCCAAACACAGAACAAGCTCTATATGAGAGATCATTTTCATATAGCGCTGTGAAAATTTATAATTCACTTCCCCAAAACATCAAATTCAAATCAGGTCATAAGTTCAAATCAGTTGAAAACTTTAAAAAACTGTCCAGTCTCTTTTACTTATATGTTAAGAAGTTTTGTTCTGTTATTGTAATGTATCTTATTTTTTATTTGGAATTTTCTCTAATCTTGTATATTGTGTTGTAAAGTGTGCATGATTTATCTACGATGTTCAAATTATTAATCAATATTTAATTTTTAAACCTTTAATATTGTTAAATATACATATATTATTTTTTGTAAATGGTTCTCGGTTAGGCTGAACAGCTCTGCTGGACTTCGCCGAGGATTAACAAAATAAAGACCTTTATTATTATTAGTAAAATCGAATGTTCGATATTTAGGTCTTGAACAAATACGAATACAGAAACAAGTGAAATCAGAGATATTATAGTTTAACAAATGTAAGGTGGTGATATTCTTAACATAAAGACTGGGACTAAGAAATCGAAAATAATTGATCTAAATTTACATTTATTATTTAAATGCCTTATACCTTTAATTAAAGCTGGGAAATTATGTCGTTTTGTTGGGTTATTTTAAAATGACATCTCTTTGATGATTGTAAGTAGGGATATAAATTGAAAGGGGTAGAGCTCTTATATTAAGAAATTTTGTGACTGTTGACTTATACCAAATGAAAATTAAAAATTAATCACATAAGCAAAGTCTAATTAAATGCACCAAACTTGTTTTGTGAATTAATGACAGGAAACAGTAAAACAAATGACAAACGTTTATCGCTTGGCATTATACGCTGTGAAACGACCAAATGGAATAAATTCAGTAATAAATAAATGGAAAAACGCTCGGACACATCGATTGGTCTATTTAGTTGCGCATTTTTTTTTACAAAAACTTTTTATACAGTGTGTGACCAATACCAACTTTCTTTTTTCAATTTTCGGATTCTTCAGAAAATTCTAGACATATTTTATGTACTATGTCCTATACCTAACTGTTTCGGAAATATTAAATGTTTTCCGATTTATTGCAAAAATTAACATTAATAAAATAATTTGATTAATTGAAAAACATACAGGGTATTGCATTAAAAATAAAAAAGTTGGTATTGGCCACTGTTACATGACACACCCTGTATAGAAAGTTTTTGTTAAAAAAAAAATGCGCAAGGAAAAATACCAATCGACGTATCCGACCGTTTTTTCCGAACACGACCCCATTTAGTTATTTCGGTATTTATTCCATTTGGCTGTTCCACATCGTATATTATATACTATTCACAGTTTAACAAACCCCTCTCAGCCCATCCCCCATTTTTATTAATTTTTCAGAATCAATAGGCTTCATTTTATAGTTTGATTTCTACTTAAAATTTAATATTAATATCGCTTTTCGTTTCTGATTTCCGATTTGTTTTAATTTCAAGTCCCCTTACTCCTTATTTCAATTCAGATTTTATTAAAAATCAATAGGATTCTCCCTTTATAGAGCTTGATTTTTACTAAAATTGTTAGTTATGTTGATATCACCTTTTGTTTTTGATTTGATATTTATTTTAATTTCAACTTCCCCTTAACTTCCATGTTTATTCACGGGCTTCGTCTCCTTATAGAGCTTGATTATTCCTGAAAATTTCAAGTTGATATCGTTTTTTGTTTTGTTTTGATTTTTTCTAAATTCAACCCCTTCTTAATCCCCCATTTTTATTCAGATTCTTTTCAAAATCATTAGCTTCGTCCCTTTACAGAGCTTGATTTTTCCTGAAACTTTCAAGTCGATATCATTTTTCGTTTTTGACTTATTGTGCGGACAACAATCGTGACATCGGACGGACGAACAGACGGGCATTTATAAAAATTGTTTTAAATTTGACGAGAAGGATTTTAGTACAAACATTTTTAAATTTGGATCAATATTAAAAATCTTGGTATCTCGAAAAAGTAGACAGACTACTGTGTGAAGAGTAGAGTTGCATAATGAAAATTTCAGATGAATAATAGCGCACTCAATTTTGTAAATTACACACTCTTGTATAGATTCACACACTAAAATTTGTGTATAAATGCCTACTTTTAGGAAAATTTATTTTGCAAATAATTTATGTTGCTAGTAGCTGCTCTGCCATATTATAGGGTGTGGATTTTATTGTGCCCTTGGTTTTCTTATGCAAATGGTTACTATTTTGAAAATTTATCAGGTAATAAGTTATTTCAAAAGTTAGGCTTTAGTTGTTTTATTCTGCTTATTTACAAAATAAAATTAATTTTGTTACATATTTATAAGATAATAATTGTACAAGTATTGTTTTAAGTATTAAATATTTTTGTAAAATATGCAAAATTGAGATATAATAAATAGGAGATGCTATGACGATTCTAAAAGTGTCCACACCTTCGTATTACACTTTTAAGTTAGGTGTTAAACTCGAGCTAGTGGAAGTAGTCATTTTTGGTGAGAGTAAACGCTATTTTTTTTAAAAATAGTTTCAATCAAATATAAAATTATTGACTTCAAATAAATCAAAGTACGACCTAAGTCGCCATTTTGATTACACTTTTCAATCACTTTTGGTGCGTCCATTAATTTTCGTATTTTACCATAAAAATATTTTTAAATTATGATATCGAAAAATAAAAAAACTAATTTTCTACAAAAAATGTTGGCATCTAAAACAAAATGCGCATATTTAAAAACCCTGATTTAAATAGTTTCCACTCTTTTGAAATATCTTGATAGATATGTAAAATTTTGTTTTTGAGATGGTATGGTAAAATTTTGTTAAGCCGGACCTGAATTTTAATTATGGTTTCAATGGCATTATTCTTGCTCTATCGAGAAAAATCTAGCTACTAAATTTGATTTTTTTTGCCGAGTGGTTGTTGAGTTTTGACCGAATATAAATCCATAAAACACCCTGTATCTAGGTAATGAGATAAGACAAACTCATTAATAATGTGTGATGTCGAAGTGACCCATATATTTACATTTTACTCTGAAACACCCAAAGAAATACAAAATGTTTTTTTATCAAAAATCATTTACTTTACCTTTAAAATTTCAGTTCTATATCTTTAGTACTTTTTGTTTTATAATTGTAATACAAAATAAATAGCAAACCTGAGAGCATTATCCAAATTTGAAAATTTTATAGCTGCTATACCATCTGAAGGGTTAATTTTAAATATTTTGCCTCCACAATTTTCAGTTAAAAACCGTAGCCTATTTTTCAGTCTAATAACTTCAACATTTTTGGGCAAATTTGTAATTGTTAAATAAACAGCTTCACAAGTCACCGGTTGAGACTAAAAATAATCAATTATTTAATTCCTTAATAGCCTTCAGGATGACAAATGTTTTGTTTTAATTTTCATAAATAATGGCATTATGAAATCCAGCACAATGAGAAAGAGTTGTAGGTACATACATACATACATATTTTTAGCTATTTAAAAAAATTTAAATTGTTAAATCATATTTTCCTAATAAATTTAATTTAAAAAGTGAATCCCGGAACCAAGAACTATAAAAAAATGAATAATTTTATACAGTATATCTGAAAAAGTTGGAAATTAATGGGTATTATTTAAATAAAAAATATTCGTTATAAGAAGTTCTGTGTCACAAATCAAGAATCAAATTTGTAAAATATTTAATGGTAATACTAGGAAAATCAAAAATATTGACGCTGAAGAGTAAAGTGCTTTTAAATTTAATTACAGAACAACATGTCATTTGAAAATATTGATATGAATTAAAAATTATGTCCAAATATAGATTCATGACCTCTAATAAATAATGAATACATTTAAAGTAAAAAAAATCACATTTTAACAAACATTTTCCAATATTTCTTTTTTCAATTGTTTTCTGTTTTTTGGTTTTGACTTCATTGATTGTATGTTTTGTATAAGCTTCCTTAGTTTCTTAGGACCTTTGAAAAATATACTGTGTAAAATATATAGAAAAGATGCTTCAACATAGGATTTGACAGTTTTGCCGTGGAGCTAACCGAAGTGACCGCGAAACATTGGCGTAGAAAATTATTTTATAGATGCTAATAACAATTTCATGTAAATAGTTTTAAAAATGTGAATAGCTGTTCAAATTTTGTAGAATTATGATGTAGGATATTGGAACGTTTGTTTAATTTATTTATAGTGTATTTATTTAAAACACTATTTACAATTTATTTATAACGTACTAATTAATTTATATAATACTTAGGCACTATTATAACTCACAATTCTAATTTATTTATTACAGTTTATCTTTTCTGTCCAACACTTAAATTCAATCTTCACAACTCTTTGGTATACAACTGACTGACTGGTCCGTGTTCTTACACCAATATTTATACACATTGAAAATTCTGGTGAAAATCTAGAATGCTCCCGCCAAAACTAGAAACATTATCACGTTCGTTCTGGAAGGTAACCGAAAGCGCCTTCGCCATAGTCATCGCATGTTTGGCCTTAAGGGGTTTACTTATGTATGATAATTGAACAAGTTGAGCCTGAAAGGCCATATAAGACAGAGAGGGACTTGGAGGATTAGAGCATGACTGAATAATGAAATGGCGAGCATTACAATATTATTACTTATTTAAATAATTATTTGTATTCCATAAATACATATATACGTTCGCCCAATCTTGCCTGTAATAATTGGTGAACAAACATTACACCTCTCTACCTACCAAAAGCCTTTCCAATTCCTATCCCTACTATAACATCAGCCTACAAGTTTCAAAAATTAATTTAACTTGCTAGGGGATCTATATACACTGGCACACTACCTTACCATTTCATTTTACATCGGTTAATATCCACAGAATCATACTAACTGTTTTAATGTTACAAGCTTCTAAAATTTTCATTGTTAAAAATTATTATACCACCTGTAGGCTTTCACTCGAAATCACTATAAAAAATTCTCTCAAAATTTCCGAAATCATATCAGCAAAAATCATGGTTGAAATCATTAACAAAATCACTTCGAAATAAGTTTGTTGCTCAGAACTATAAACGCAGCAGCGAGTGGTTGAAATGACAAGGGAAGAGTCCAAAAAAAAGGGTCGACCAAATATCAAGTGAAGATCTCTCAAAAAAAAAGGTCATTTGAATATTCAAGACAATTTCAAGAAATCATAGGAAATTTGAACTAATGATTTCACCAAAATCACCAAATCCTATAAAACTAAGGGAGATTTTGGCAAAATCATCGAAATCGTATGAAATTAAGGGGAATTTCGGCGAAATCGCCGAAATTGTGTAAAGTTAAGGTGCATTTTGGCAAAATCAAAGAAATTATTTGAATTTTAGGTGATTTCCAATAATGGTATGTTTTCACCTTAGTGGTTTACCCCTCACCTTCTGGCTATTTGATTCACATCATACCATTTCATTATGTTTAATTTGTAATTTTGAATCTTCTAATTCCTTTGTTTCAGTTCAACAAACCGTTAATGGTTCATAATTATCTATACAATTATCTCCTTCAAAATTTTATAACTTTCTGCATGAATACAAGAAAAGAAACATTATTTTTATAGTTATTTACCATCTTAAGTCCTTCAGCATTTTTGTTTGATTGCTATACATTATAATAATTAATTAGACTATAAACCGCTTAGCATTTATGTACTCATCCTCCTTTAAACAAAATATAATTTTGGAATTTGAGACCTGGTGTGTGTGGAGTGAGTGAAATATATATTTTTTATATATTTTTATCTCTTACAATTCAAACATTGTAACTTACAGGTATAAAAAACCCTTCTTTAGTTTATACGTTTGCCACCGTCTTCGGATTTTCTTCAAGTAGAGAGGATATAAGTACTTAAAACGATTTTAATATTTTAATACTTTTGTTAACTCTTGGGGCTATCCGGGGTTGGCGACTGGCGAACAAAACCATAACCGAGAGCGTCCACTTTGTATCAGTTTTAACTGTCTGGATGTTCTCTTTTTGTATTTGCGTAATTATATTTTTTTTTATTGTTGTAATTCTATTGTACACCGTAAATGCAAAATAAACTATTATTATTATTATTTATTATATTTCATTTTTTGCTTAGTAACAAGAACGTTCATTAAAATTTACTATAATAAATATAGCCTGATAAACTTTATCGCATAATAATTATTAAAAGGCACATAAGGGACCTTAAATCCTTTTCCATACTGTATATGGTCACACACACCTGGTGAAATTTAGTTTTCCTTATCTAACCCAAGATATTTCTGTTTCATAATAAAAATGCTCCTTGATTGATTTTATAGGAAACAAGACAACATATCATTGAACCAGTAAAAATGAGGAGCTTTGGAGCAAAATCGAAAAAATTCACTTTTTATGAAAATTAAGTTAGTGTCGGATTTCATCTGACTTTGTTAAATTACGTCTTTATAGACTACCTTTTCGAGCAAAAATGAATAAATATTTGTAAAATTCAAGGACAAAATCGACGTTTTCATGCAAAACTGAATAAATCCATTAGTGTAGTAGTGTAAACAACATACTGGCGATCTCTGCAGTTTAAAAGTAAAAAGATATTTCTTTATTTTGAGTTTTTTTCCTCTTATATTAGTGCACATAGTTTTTTGAGTATTGATTTGAGTAACAAAAATATTTTTTCAAAATTATAATTGCAAAGGATGTATTATTAATGAGGTCTCCAATAGTATTTTCTAACACAAACAAAAAAAAACAAGTACTTTTTGTGCAATTAAAAAATCATGTATGGTGGATTTGTTTTGCTCCAAAGCTCCTTAAATGTACTATCCAGTAAACTTCTCAAATACACTAAAAAAAGGTCTTCAATGCTTAGTGGATAATGGTTTTAGAAACAAATCATAAGATGCATTTTTTTTTTGTAAAAAAAAAGAATATATACAATTTCCCTTTTTCAACTGTCAGAAACGTAAGTGTCAACAAGACATTTTAGAAACAAAGGATATTCACTCACTGAAATAATATGGTAATACTGACATGAAGGCATTTACCACAGGGTAGCATTTACTGTCTGAAAACAAAGAGACAGAAGATAAATCTTCAAATGAGGGCTGAATACAGGAGGTGTTGGTCATATTAATACCACATTACTATCAAACTACGATCGTTTCCCATCCTAAACTATATCTCCAAGCTTTCAACTCGAGTCGTTTCTCAGTTGACTGGTAAGAAAAATTTATGCAACTCCAGTCATTATCTGTCCTGAAAAGGTTAAAAGCTCTGTTGTTTTGTGCAACAATGAATTTTTACTGAATTAAATGGAATTGTTCGAAATTTGGGTAAGAAAAACAGTTAATTTCTGCACTTACTTTTGTTTTATTTTCTGGGATATCTTTAATTAATTCAGTAAATGAGTGATGTTCATTCGCACACAATATCAAAGCATCAGCTGCATTTACATTATGTACTAGAATAACTCTTATTTTTCTTCTATACCGAAGATCAGATAAATCAGCAGCGAAATTTATGTCTCCAGAAATTAACACCACTGCTGAAGGTGCAGAATGTAATTCACCAAAGCGCCTTAAAGATTGTCTCAATTTTTCATCAGCAGCATTTTTTGAGGTAGATGAAACGTGAACCAACATTACCTAAAACATTTATTATGTAAAAACATATTAATTTAAATTATTTATTGTTACTACTTGTGCATCATGTAGTTCTTGAATAACCTGTGGACTTTCTTTTTTAACATCACAAACTACTACAAATTCAGATTCCCGGTAATTTTCTAAAAATGTTTGTCTTATTTTCTGTACTAAAGCTGCAGAACTTCTATTTTTAGGTACTTGGCAATTTTCAATATCCCAATAGATTCCTAAAGGTGGTAATTTCTTTAACTTTGATTTATACTTCTTTTTTGTTAAATTAAAGCTCCTATTGAATTGTAAACTGTTGGTACTTGATCTAGAACTATCTGAATTCGATGAATAATATGAATTATTTGCACTTTTGGATATTCTTGGTGGTGGAGGAAACATAAATTTCGGTTTAGCTCCGGTGCCATCTGAAAAATTATAATTTCTACCTGTGGAGTCTTCACTGGATTCTTGATAAATTATGGAATAATTCATTGTTGTGACTTTTTTACATGGTAAGTAAACATGAAAATCGTAATGAATTGATTTAAAAATGAATGTTTAAGAACAAATCAACTACATGATTTTACTTTGTTTGGAATTAGATTAATTTAAATGGGATAACTTGTTTTTGTTAAACCAAACAAGGACCGTCTTTTCTACTTGAAGATTTCTATAATTTCTACAACAACGTCAACCGTCAACAACACACCACCGGATGCATTAGGCGAGTTCGGATAGTCAGGGGTGGTCAGGGGCTGGAGCGGGACAAATTTTAGGGTGCTTTTAAATGACATTTAAGCGTGTTAAAATGTCACTAATCGGACTAAACCGAACGCTAAAAGGGTCGTTTGGAGTTAAAAGTGTTAAAGGAACGTGGCAGACCGAACGCAATGACCGAACGCTAAAAGGGTCGTTTGGAGTTAAAAGTGTTAAAGGAGTTAAAGGAACTTGGCAGACCGAACGCAATGATTTTTTACATCTTGAGTGGGACTACATATGCCGCGTTTGAGAATCCACATCGGATGCATTTTTTACATCTCGAGCGTTTTTTTATCCACATCGGACACATCTACTACATCTACATCTGCGTTTGTTTATCCCAGATGTACCTGTTCAGATTACATTTTTTACATCTCGATTTGAAATGAGATGTGAATGAGATGTTCGTTCTATGCCTGAAAGTAAGTGTTCTGTGAAGTCTTGTTTGTCAATTTATCCTTTGTTATGAATATAAAAGTGATTAGATTGTTTAATTTTTGTTTATATTTCAAATTTAGGTTGATTTGTAGTCTCAAAAGTCAAATTTAATAAGTATAAACTTCTAACTTGTCATTGACATTTTATCACGTGACCAAATAAAGTCTAGAGCGTTTGTTTATTACATCTACATTCAGATCTAATTCTCTATCACGTGATAAAAAATTCACAACATCTCAGATGCATCCGATGTGGATTCTCAAACGCGGCATTACTTTGATTACTATACGAGGCAAGAGAGAGGTCCGACCACATACTTTGATTTTCTTTTACTATACGGAGAATGGTCGCACTGCGCAGCTTTCTGAGTGCCTTTTAAAAGGAGATAGAAAACTCCGCCATTTTGAACCCTTATTACGTGTTGCCTACATCTTGGCGCAATATTTTTAATAGGTGCGCTTTAATCATCCGCTTCTGCTTCGGAATTGTCAGTTTTCTTGTTTTAATCTGACAGGTTAAAACGACAATTCCGGAAGCAGAAGCGGATGATTAAAACGCACCTGATATTTTGCTTGCTGCTGTCAGTGTCAGTGAATATTATTTTTGAAGTCACAGTTTATTGCTAAAGAATCAGTTAGCTCACTCGGACCAGTTGAAAGTTCCAAAATAACATCCACTCCAGGGATACAAATTCAAGATACGCAGAAGACTGCTGTTTTATTATAGGCGGTTGTCATATATTGTATTATCCGAGTTGCACAGTGTATAAACTGAAACATTGAGATCCAAAGTGCCGACGCAGAGTGAGCGATCTGATTCTTTAGCTGTAAACTGTGTCATAGGGTTCAAAATGGCCGCACCCTATGTTGGGCGTGTCGGACCTCTCTCTTGCCTCGTATAGTAATCAAATGCTGCGTTTGAGAATCCACATCGGATGCATTTTTTACATCTCGAGCGTTTTTTTATCCACATCTGACACATCTGTCCCATTACATTTACGTATACTGAATCACGTGATCAAAGATTTACTACATCTCAGATGCATCCGATGTGGATTCATATGCTGCGTTTGAGAATCCACATCGGATGCATCTGAGATGTAAAAAATCTTTGATCACGTGATTCAGTATACGTAAATGTAATGGGACAGATGTGTCCGATGTGGATAAAAAAACGCTCGAGATGTAAAAAATGCATCCGATGTGGATTCTCAAACGCAGCATCAAACGCAGCACAAGTATGTGGGTCCGACACGCCCAACATAGGGCGCGGCCATTTTGAACCCTGTGACACAGTTTACGGCTAAAGAATCAGATCGCTCACTTTGCATCGCACTTTGGATCTCAATGTTTCAGTTTATACACTGCGCAACTCGGATAATACAATATATGACAACCGCCTATAATAAAACAGCAGTCTTCTGCGTATCCTGAATTTGTATCCCTGGAGTGGATGTTATTTTGGAACTTTCAACTGGTCCGAGTGAGCTAACTGATTCTTTAGCAATAAACTGTGACTTCAAAAATAATATTCACTGACACTGACAGCAGCAAGCAAAATATCAGGTGCGTTTTAATCATCCGCTTCTTCTTCCGGAATTGTCGGTTTAGTCGTTTTAACCTGTCAGATTAAAACAAGAAAACCGACAATTCCGAAGCAGAAGCGGATGATTAAAACGCACCCATTAAAAATATTGCGCCAAGATGTAGGCAACACGTAATAAGGGTTCAAAATGGCGGAGTTTTCTATCTCCTTTTAAAAGGCACTCAGAAAGCTGCGCAGTGCGACGTGCGACCATTCTCCGTATAGTAAAAGAAAATCAAAGTATAATCAAAGTATGTGAGTGGGACAGATGTGTCCGATGTGGATAAATGCCGCGTTTGAGAATCCACATCGGATGCATTTTTTACATCTCGAGCGTTTTTTTATCCACATCGAACACATCTGTCCCATTACATTTACGTATACTGAATCACGTTATCAAAGATTTACTACATCTCAGATGCATCCGATGTGGATTCTCAAACGCATCCGATGTGGATTCTCAAACGCGGCATAAATAAACGCTCGAGATGTAAAAAATGCATAGGATGTAGATTTTCAAACGCGGCAATCTCGGATGCATCCGATGTGGATATTCAAACGCGGCAATAAATTAGGGGTGATACTTCGAGCATAACGTCTGCAACTTTGCAAATCTGCAAATATGGCGGCAACTTTGCAGATCTGCAAATATGGCGGACTTGCAGATGCAGGTTTTCGTATTCCATAAAATATTTGCAAATTTGCAATATTTATTGTGGTTAATTAACCCCAACAACACTAAACCCATCCATTACAATAAGGCATTTTTGCGACATAAACGGATTATATTATGTTATTTGATCATGTTCGTCTATCCCCCCACCACATATAGTATATGTTGGCGCGAAAATGGAAAATCCATGCTGTTTCGAAAGTGGGCAGTGAGTTGAAGTAACAATTTTTTATTATTTCAATTTCTCATGTGTGTGTAAACCACGCGATTTTTCCTAAGAGTAAAAACAGTTTAATTATTTTATATTAATATTTAATGTACCTAAATATATTGTCTAAAAATTACAACAAATTTTACTTGTGCTATTTTAATTAATCTATTTATATTTACTATATTTTAATTGTTGAATAATTTCGTTACTTTCCTCTACTTCAATTTCAATCTTATTTAATTTAAATTGAAAAGACAGGTTATTTTTCATCTCACTCGGGAGTATTAATAACAACCATTTTCTATTTCACTTTGTTATTGTCTGATCCACCAGCTTGTGGATTGAACAATAACAATGTGAAACAGAAGATGGTTATTATAAATACTCCCGAGTGAGATGAGAAATAAAAATGGCTGCGCCCATAGAGTCGCATCTTGTTCTATTGATACAATATGCACATTGGCTTTCTACCCAACTTTAGGGGGGCTATTTTCAAAGTATGGGAGCACTCATTTCTCTCAAGATTCTCATCAGAAATGTCATACGTCAATGTAGAAATGGTGTTTTTAAAGGCATCGAGGATTAAAATTCTTAGGAAGACTTTAATTCTCTCTAAATAAACCGAGAGAAACAGTCAGTGAGTTCACACTGGCCCTAAGAGCCCTAAAAATACGGTTTTACGTTGACGTATGACATTTCTCTTGAGAGAAATGAATTCTCTCGAGTTTGAAAATAGCTCCCCCGGGGTGCTATTTTCAAAGTCGAGAGAATTCATTTCTCTCGAGAGAAATGTCATACGTCAACGTAAAACAGTATTTTTAGGGTCCTAAGGGCCAGTGTAAACTCACTGATTGTTTCTCACGGTTTATTTAGAGATAATTAATATCCTCCTAAGAATTTTAATCCTCGAGGCCTTTAAAAACAGCGTTTCCACATTGACGTATGACATTTGTGATGAGAATCTTGAGAGAAATGAGTGCTCCCATACTTTGAAAATAGCCCCCCAGTTCATTGGTCCCCAGAAAAGACATAACCAAAAACTTGATTTGACAATAATTTGCACTTACCGTTCGTATTTTTTATCGCTTTATCGAGCAAAAATAAACGTTTCGACGAATTTTGTCCGGACGATTGAAAATTTGACGCTCTCGATTTATGAACGCACCCCTGTTATTCGAACATCTGAACACGGCTTTATTTATTGACCTCTTCATAAAATTATTCGCCATTTTGTAATTGTATTCGTGGTCGAATTAGCTGTGGTGTTAGGTATTTATTAATTCATTTTGAATACAAATCTTGTTTTATTTAGCAAGTGTGGCGTCTGGCGTCTAACACAAAAAACCATATAATTATGACTGCTCACGATCAAATGAGGGCTATGCTAGACCAACTTATGGGAACAGGAAGAAATGGTAAATAACTAGGCTAATCGATTAAATATTTTTAACAGCTAATTGATTTATTTGTAGGTGAAAATAACAAGTTTCACGTAAAATTCAACGATCCCAGAGTGTGCAAATCATTTTTACTCGCATGCTGCCCTCACGAAATATTATCATCTACGGTAAGTGACAAAAACTTTTATTTCGATTTTTAAAAATGTACATGAATTTACATATACATATCTTTTAAAACGTTTTGATTTTTCGATTTTAAATACCGGTGACTAATAACGCACTGTGTTTTCAGAAACTGCAATTATCTATAATAAGATGAGGAATAGGTGTTTTGATTTTGTATGTAAGTACTAGGACGTACGTATAAAAATTTCAATTTACTAGGTATACATACATGTTGATATATATTTAGGCAAAAACACATTTAAAATATTTTGAGATGGCTTAACAGTAAGAAATAAATTAAATGTCAATTTTAAAATATATTCATTTCTTACTGTTAAGTTCTGTATAATATCCTGAGGACGGTATGGTAAGCAGTTTAAAAATTTAGATAAAAAAATGTGTGTATTCAAGCAGTTTCTGGTGTGGGTAAGTAATAAAAGAGTAATCTTTTTGTTATATAGGGGTTGTAGGTCTCCCACATGTAACTCCAAATATACTTATTATGTAGGGCAATGCAGTGGATATGATATGATCCAAATGTACTTTGTATGTGGGTAGATTTGCTGATGCCATCAACAAAAATTACTGTTTTTATTTACATTTGTTTCCAATTGAAATTATATCACCTATGTTGAAGTGTACATTTTCTTTCTTTTTAACAGACTTCAAAGAAGGAGGAGGTTCTCAATTCGTTGCGATTTTTTTTTTTTTTTATTATTATTATTATTATTATTATAATACACTGTAATAATGCTTTGAAATTCAAAATATTGGCTGAGTATTACAGTTGCTATTTTCTGAGTTCTAAATCCTCTTGATATTCACTTATTTATATTTTGTACATTTCTGTGGACCTAAGTAATGAAGATTGAGTTTGGTTTCAGACATTAATTTTTTTCATTACTGTACAAACCAATGTGTATTATTATCAAACAATACAAATCCAAAACTACACTGAATGCTTTTAATAAAAAAAGGAAATAATTCATAACTCAAATGTGATCAAGATGTAGGTAGAGTGTTGAAAATATTTTTCCTCTGCTTTTTTCTATTGATGTAATTCAATACCTGGTGAGGTATTAGCCAAAGTAGTTGTTTTCAAGAGAGAAACGGCTTGTATTATTGTGATACATGGGTTTGAGTTTTATTTTACTTTTAATAAGCCTTTCTTTGGCAGTTGCATCCAAATATCCCTTATTTTTTCAAGATGCCTCTCACCTCTATTATTATGCAGTTATGCAAATATAGAACATACATTTTTCTAAACTAGGATTATTAAAAAAAAAATTAGGCTACCATTGTAAGAATAGTAAAATGAACAAGTTTGTTCACTCTCATGTTATAAAATTAGTAACTAAAGTTAGGCAGATTTTAATAAAATTTATTTTTGGTTATTGATGCTTTTCTCTCTTTCTTCATCTCATTTTTCAATATTATTGTTGCCATTTTTTCTTTTAATTCTTTTACATTAGTTTAATAGAATAATACACTATTTAAGTTTCTAGTTTTTTAACTTAATTTGCATTAAATTTTTTACAATTTTTCTTCCTAACCTTTTAAGTCCTGTTTTCATTTTTATTAATCCCTATTCTAGGTATTTTTATTACAAAAAATTTTTGTGTTCCTAATATTTAGACATATGTAGTACTAGTTTTAATATGGCCATTTCAAATAAAAGGAATTAAGGAATATTGAAAGGATGTGACAAGAAAGCATTTTATTTGAATTTCTAGTATTATTTCAATCAGTATTACACCTTCTGCAATTGTTTCAATGAATTTAATTGAATTAGTTACACAAAGATGTATGTACTTTATATTTTAATCATAATCCTGGATTTAATCATAGCTGGATCTAGAGAATCAAATTTTCAGGGTCGTGAGTTTTATCTATTCTTTCTCTTAGGGCTCCGTGTATCCTAGGTGTGAAATTTGAAAGATGTACCAACTATTAAGTTGTTGATTGACTAATTCGAAGAAAGTTGCAATCCCAGCTACTTTAGAATTTACAACTAAGATTAAATTAGCAACCATATCCTGCTACTTTATTAAAAATGTCACCACATTCTTATTCTAGTTGTATGTTTTTTAATAATACCTAAATAGTTTTTATAATACATTCTTAATGTATTAGTGGGAGACCTAATTGCATGTGTTGTACTACATACAAAATGAACGAATTCTATAGAGCATTGGACAGTTAGTGAGTATAAGTCGATATCAAAAATCCTCCAAACGGGCTTGTTTTTGTGAGTATTAAAATTATTTACATATCTGTGGTCTATTCAGTATTGATGTCGAAACAAACAATAATCAAATATTATTTGTTAGACTGGTTACATTTTATAGAAATTAGGATTTTTAAAATCAAAACTGATTTGCTGTAATTGAAATAGATTACATCATTTTCATTGTAGTCATTAGAACAAAAATAAGTAAAAGTATTAACAAATTTTTAATGATTTATATAAACCTGTTAGTATTTTTTCTGTAAAAATATTGCTTTTTTTATTTATAGCATATTTAATTGTAACCATTGTAACAAATTTGTTTTTTGCGCTTTTTTACATTAATACAGAATAGACACTATCCTTCCCAAGCCAAACAATAAAATATATAAAAAGTGATGCGTTGTGTATAAGAAAACTAGTCATCAGTTAATGAATGGCCATTATTAAAGACAAAAACCATACAGCTTTTGGAATATATGAGAAACATAATTGTAAGTTTCCCATTTACTTATTTTTTTTGTTCTACTGTTTTTTTATATATTACAATTAAATGAATTGATTGTAAACAAATATTCGAATGTTAGGAAATAGAATTTTAATAGCAATACCTATTGTTAATCTAGGTCTTTTCAAGGATAGTTAGAAATTTGTGTGATCAAACTTGGCCTGCAAACTTTAAATAAAATAATCCATTATGCATCTTTTTCAACCAATCGAAATACAAAACAAATCCCTCAATTCTCAGTATAAAATGTAACTTTGAAAGTGTTTATACAGTATTGCAAACAAAATATTTACCATATTAAAAGCCTGAAGGTGCTGGAGAAAATTCAATAATGAATATACATATAACCATGTAACTAAGAGAGACAGCTGTATTGAACTATACCTATCACTATTCAGGGGGTTCCTTAATGATATGAGAATATTTAAGGGTGTCAAATCTACATGAAATTTAATGATAGTTTTCTTTATAAACAATGGTCCAAAAATATTCTGTTATGCATCGCAAAAAAACAACTCAAGAAAGCTTATGTTTCCCACTTAACGGGGAATTCAAAAATTATTTTTATATGGGAAAAATATTGGCGTATAATTTTTTTGTTCAAGATTATTGAAATCTGCCCGTACTCAAGCCTTTTTTTTTTTTTTACACCCCGTTTTTTCGCAATGGAACATTTTTGGGCCGTAGTTTATAAAATAAACTATCTTTAATTTTTCATGTAGATTTACACCCTTAAATATTCGCATATCATAACACACTGTACAAGTGGTCTGCCCAAATCATTTGACATGTGACTAGAATATTTGGTTTATTCCAAAAAATAATGTATGACTGATCTGAAATTAATTACTGATCTATAGTACAAGCATGACTCCTACCCTATGTGAACTGTTTTCTGATATAATTCATGTTAGAACACATTTCTGACTATCATTACTTTCCAAAAACATATTTGTTTCCTATTCCAAAGAATAGAAGTAATGAGAGATGACAGCATGAAACCAAACTCAAAAGAGATAGTGCTACACTCCTATTTAAAGGGATGACATAGGCGGCGGCTGATTATTTAAGTAGTATGTTCTCAGGTGATTCTAATACAGTTACGCTTTACATGTCAACTAGTATTATCTGATTGAGCATCTGTAATTTTATTTGTTTACTATACTTATTTTTATTAATAAAATTGAAAATGTTGATATTAAATGTCATATGATACATTTATAAAAATTTCGTACGTCCATGGTGCTATCCATCCATCCATCCATCCACATTCCAGACTGAATCAGTGCAGGCAACAGCAGGTAGAAAGTGTAAAAATTTATAGTAAACTTTCATTGATGCACACTTCTGTTATTTTACTGGCTTGAGAGATGTTTGACAAACATCAATTTTTTTAATGTGGTGTTGGGCTTTATGTGAACAAAATATCGTCAAATATATTGGACTAAAATGAATATCTTAAAATAAAATTATTTATTTTAACTTTTTATGGAGAGTATTGCATTTTTTTATTTTTCTGGTTGTATATATTTGTTCAATTAGGGGTTGTTCCATTATTGATCATTTTGGGAGCTTTTCTAATACATATAAAAAGTATTCATCTTAAAATACAATTATATACAGATCACATTGGCGACAACGTGAACACTGCAATTTAAAAGGACAAGGTCATAGTGATTTTTATGGCATAAATATAGCGTTTCATCTTGCCTATATACCATTTAAACCAAGTCAATTTACTCAAAATATTCTAAAAAAAAAACTTATTTCACATAATAATACTTTCCCTCTACCAAATTATCTTCACTTGTTCACAATTCATCAGATTTAAAAGTATTGTGACATTGAAAGAAAAATTTCAATAATTTTATACAAAAGTTTTTTTTTTGTATCTACGAAATTGTCTACAGTATGGTTCAAATGAAAGGAATAAATTCATTATAATGGAAGTAGTTGGTTTTTTGAAAAAATGCTCGGACAGGTCAATTTTGTTTACTGAAAGCGCAATTTTTTAAATAGAATTCAATTTTCCCCCACTTCACATTTTTGGGCAATGACGTCATTGACAATTTTTTTAAATAGTAATCCCAATTTCTTTTTCTTGATTTTGATAGATCTTGCAATTTCCTACTCGGAAACATAATATTTGAAATATCTTACATAACAATTTTTTTTTGAATAAAAGACATTTAAAGATCAGACACATAAATTTTATTTTATTTTGAGAACACAATAAATGAATAAAAGATAATTATTTGTAATTAAGTGCTTAATCTAACAAAATAATTAATAATAATAATAATAAAAAAGAATTTGTGAAATTGTCATTAAATTCTTTTTATTATTATTATTATTATTATTTTAGATGAAGCATTTAATTACAAATAATCTTTTATTCATTTATTGTGTTTCAAAATAAAATAAAATTTATGTATCTGATCTATAAATGATTTTTATTAAAAAAAAATTGTTACGTCAGATATTTCAAATATTATGTTTCCGAGTAGGAAATTGCAAGATCTATCAAAATCAAGAAAAAAAAATTGTGGTTACTATTTAAAAAAAATTGTCAATGACGTACTGCCCAAAAATGGGAAGTGAGGGAAAATTAAATTCTATTTAAAAAATTGCGCTTTTAGTAAACAAAATTGACCTGTCCGAGCATTTTTTCGAAAAACCACCTACTTCCATTATAATGAATTTATTCCTTTCATTTGAACCATACTGTATAATGTTGTTTAGAAATTCAAAATGATATGTTATTAATAAAATAATCTTCATCTGCAACTGTGGATTTTTTAGGTATTTGTGGTCCTCCTTCTGTTTAGATCATTTTGTGTAGCTATGTCCTTTTCATTAGCTTTGATAACAATCTTGAATGTGTCATCTGTTAGTAGATAATATGCAGTGAGATTTCACCATCATCTGAATTAAACTTTTTCTGTTAAACCAGCGTTGCTGATATGTTAAGTTTGTAAAGCTCTATTAACAAATCGATTTTGGCTTTTTCTTCTTTTTTTGACGTTATTATCCCGCTCTTTTTTGCTCTTACATATGGTCTATATTTTGTTCAATACTGTAAGACCAGCACAACCAAAGAATTGCTTTTAAAGCTTAAGAAATACAATTCAAAACATTTAATTTTTATTTTAGAAATTCTTCAAATTCTATATTTAAACCACAATGTCATTTATATTAAGGCTGCAATGACCACCCTTCCCCTTGAACAGGTTTTGTCCTATTAACGGGGACTTATTTAGTAATTACACTGGCTTAACAGCCATAGTAATTGTTTCACTGTTTACAATCAATAAAATCAAAGTTTATTTGTCTACAGAATTAATTAACATTACTTGTTACTACTTGCTGTTTTTAATTGGGATAAGTATTAATAGTTAAATTATTTCCCATAAAAATGTTACAAAATATTAGTTTATAATTATTTAGGAGAATATTTTAAATTGAGTATAATATCTTTCATCTAATCCATCCCACATTAATATAATTTAGCCAATAAAAAAGTATTATAGAATCGTTGATAAATTAAATGTTTATAACATCCTATATATTATGAGTTAAAAGTTTGAATAAATGTATCTAATTTTGCATTTCAACAGCGTATGGACTTGGGTGAATGCCCAAAAATTCATGATTTGGCTTTACGAGCTGATTTTGAGAAGGCCCAGAAGACCAAAGATTACTTCTATGACCTTGATGTAAGTATTCTATTTAAAATTATTTATAGTTAGAGGAGTGTCAATATATAGAAGAACCATTACTCATAGTATGTACATTATAAAATTTATACCATCTGCTAAAAATAAATTAATAAATAAGTTATTTGGTTTTCCTCCTACAAATATGATTTACATATTTCAATCTTCAATAAGAGCTGATTTAATTATTTTTTAACTATTCAATACTTGCTGCATTTGAATATCCAGATCCAATGTATTTTTTACATCTCGAGCATTTGTTTATCCACATTGGACACATCTGTCCTAAATGCATCTGATGTGGATATTCAAACGCAGCAATTGCATAACATAGGAAATAGTAACATTTACCCAAAGTTGTTTTCTTTAACATTTAATAAAAATATATCTGGTCCAGTTTTTTGTGGCGATTAAAACAAAACCGATAATATATTGTCAGGTTTTACTAATTACTCTGAACATAAAAAAAGTTTTAAACTAAATATATAAAGTAATTTTTTAGGCTATGGAACATCTTCAAGCTTTCATAGGTGATTGTGATCGTCGTACTGAAGCAGCAAAACAGCGCTTAGCTGAAACGCAGGAAGAACTTTCAGCTGAAGTGGCAGTTAAAGCAAACAGTGTGCATGAATTGGCAGAACAGATTGGTCAAAAATTGGCTAAAGCTGAACAACTCGGGGAGGAAGGCTTTGTTGATGAAAGCATGAAACTTATGGAAGAGGTAGAGGTCGTATTGGGGTTTTGAAAATAGATGATTCTCGTTGTTTTTATGGCCCGTGTATTTGGATAAGAATTATTATTTTAACATGAAATTTAAATAATCATTGATAAAGAAGTTAAAATGTATACTTCTATTATAATGAAATTTGGAAACATTTAATTATTCCTAACATCTGAATACACTAAACATTCGAGTATCATCTAACAAATTCATTGAATATTAAATTGACTCCATTGTGACTCTAGGTTGATGAGTTAAGAAAGAAAAAGTTGGATGCTGAACAAGAATACAGAAACTCTATGCCAGCTAGTAGTTATCAACAGCAAAAATTAAGAGTATGCGAAGTGTGCTCTGCCTATTTAGGTATACACGACAATGACAGACGCTTAGCTGACCATTTTGGAGGGAAACTCCATCTTGGTTTCATTAAGATTAGAGAAAAACTTGCGGAACTAGAGGTGAGTATATTTTTTTTTATTGTTCAAAACAACCAAACAGCACTACGAATGTATCATATCGTAATTTTATAGTTCACTGACCAAGCATAATGAAGTCTTTATTGGAAAAATTTGTATAAATCATTTGGCCTCAGTCATCAGTGATTGACTGAAAATAGTTAATTCATTTCAAGTATGGATACATTTTCTAATAATAATAATAATAATAATAACCACTACTCCACTATTTTGCAGGTCATATTAGGGAATGATAAAGTAAACAATAGGAATACTATTAAATTTATTAATCCAAATAAAATTAACAATATTTTTCGAGATATTTCATGGTCCCCTGTGTATGCTTCAGAAAATCCAGACATTGCAGCAAACACATTTGTCAACATTATTGAAAATGGTATATAAAATGCACAGAAAACCGTAAATTAATAAGAAAACGAGATAAAATTGCACCCTGGATGACAAATGGACTGCTCACTTCAATTAACGAAAAAAAAAAATAAAATGTTTCTTAATGTTCAAAAATATCCTAACAATTTCGAATTAAACAGTATAATACAGTGCAACCTCGATAATCCAAATCCACGCTAATCCGAACGCAAATCGTGATGCGAAATAGTCCGAGCGCCGCCTCTGTAATCCGAACGCTGACAGGAAAAGACCTGCAGCGCGGCCCGCGTCGCCCATATGTAGTTTGATAATGCATTTAAATGTACAAAAATCAATATACATACATAGATCTAAAGGTCTAAAAATGTGTAAGAGGTGTTTTATTGTATATTCGTTAATCCGAACAATTCGATAATCCGAACAAGGTCTGACAATTAGGTGTTCGGATTAAAGAGGTTGCACTGTAATTATAAAAATAAAATTCAACACTCTAATAACAAAAACAAAATTTAATTATTATAAACAAAAAATTGAAAGTGATAAAAACAATTCCAAAAATTTGTGGTACAGGATATAAATAAAACAAAAAAAATTAAAGACATTGTCAAAATACAAAACAGTATTGGTGAATTATTAACAAATACGAAATAGCAAATTAATTTAATGAAGTTTTTGTTGACATGGGGCAGAACCTTACCAAAAACATAAAAGTTTATCCAACATATAATTACAAAAGAAAATCTTTTCTGAGCTCTGTTGATAGAACAGAAATTTTTAACGTTATTGGCGAATTATAAAACAAAAAAGCTGTTGGTGATGACTATATAAAAGCTGAAACTATAAAAGATACAACAAAAAAGCTGTTGGTGATGACAATATAAAAGCTGAAACTATTATAGCCATCTCATATTACATAGTAGAACCACTATGTTTCTTGATAAACAAATGTATTGACCAAGCAATTTATCCATCCATCTTTAAAAGTTCAATAATTATACCAATTCATAAAAAAGGCGATTTTACAGAAATTTCTAATTATATCGACCTATAAGTCTAGTAACACATTTCTCAAAAATCTTTGATAAAATATTAAAAAATTGTCTTCAATTTTATTGCAAAAAATCCAACTTCCTACTAATATATAAATGCGAAAATTTAGATGTATGGATGGATGGATGTTTGTTGCTCAATCGCGCAAGAATGGCTGAACGGTTAAAGGTAGGAACTTGAAAATTGGAATTATAGAGTACATTACAAATAAATAAAATTACAAAAAATATTTATCTATATCTAAAATATAAAATATAACACTAAAATATCACAGATGCTGGCTCGTTAACATATAATCTCTTAGTTTATATTTAAAGGTATTAAATGAGGCGACATTTCGGAGTTTTAAGGGTATCTCATTAAAAGCTTGAAGTCCCTTAAAAAATATTGAATTTTGGGACTGTTTACGTGCAACTTGTGGAATATGAAAATTAGATCTATTTCTTGTGTTATAGTTATGATAGTCAAAGTTGTAATTGATTTTATCAAGTAAATAAGAGGGGACCAGTCCATGTTTAATTTTATAAATGAATATTAAAGTTAAGTACAGAAAATAGTTTTTAACAGAAAGCCATTTCAAATTTTGTAACATACCTAATATATTGGTCCTTCTATCACATGACAATAATATCCTCATTGCTCTATTTTGTAATTTCTGAAGTCTGTTGGTTTCATTCTGATTAAGTAAATACATAATGGTGGCACAATAAGTGAAATGAGGCAAAACTATACTGTTATATAAAAGAATCAATGAATTAATAAAAAAAATTTCTCAGATATCGCATGAAAAAATTTCTCTGGAGTAACGAATTGTTCACTTTTAATAATTTAAATTTGAGAAATTCCAGCTCAGCAGGATCGGGTCAGCTAGTATAAAATAATTTCAGACTGTCAATATAGATCCTGAAAAAAAAAAAAGTACCAAAGATGCCATTTTAAGACACAACAAAAAACACAGAATCCCTAATTGAGAATAAACCATGCCTAAGTATATTCATTGACTTATCAAAGAGTTCGATACCGTCAGTCACTGTCTACTTTTGCAGTCACTGGAAGATATCGGAATACAAGGTAAATGCAACGAACTCTTTGAAAGTTATCTGACTGACAGACTCCAGACTGTGATAGTGGGTGTTTGCAGTGGCGCGGAAATCATTAAGTACGGGGTACCTCAAGGGTCCATAGTTGGTCCTATACTAGTTATTTTCTTTAGATACATGTGTTACTATAATACGCGTGTTTGGTGCGTGTCACAAGGTCATAGCACTGGATACCAACAGAAGAGCCATACTGTCATTAATGTCCATAAGAATAACACAGTCGTCATTGAAATTATTAAAGCATAATTTTGAAAATGAAAGCAATTTAAATTATTTAACATATTAGAGCATATGGATGCTAAGGTAATAAAGTTTATATGTTTCTCTATTGATTTCATATATTTTTTTTAATATGTCAATTAATTAAATTATATACACTTCAAAAACCAGGGTTTGAGTAGGCTGGTTTAAAATTCTTCAAATCGAAGGAAATAAATATTTTCCTGAAACATTATGAAATCGATAGAGAAACATAAACGTTATTACCTTACCGTCCATATGCTCTAATATGTTAAATAATTAAATTGCTTTCATTTTCAAAATTATGCTTTAATAATTTCAATGACCGCTGTGTTATTCTTATGGACATTAATGACAGTTGACATTATGGTTCTTTTGTTGGTATCCAGTGCTATGACCTTCCTCAACCTGTGACGTTTTCACTAAACACGAGTATTGGATTTGCGGAAGATACGGCAATTTTTTAAAATGCAAATAGCTGGATGGAGGTAAAAGTTAAAGTGGAACAAGACTTTTTAAATATTAAAAGATCTCGATAGAAAAATATTAACAGTAAGCTTTGAAAAAACAAACTACCCATATACACTCCTTACAAGTCATTAAAAACGCTTTCTAAAGCTAACCTATACTAAAAATGCCAGATATTCCTCCTATACCTTATAAAGACACAGATTCTTGATTAAAGACAACTCTATTTCTTCTATAGCACAACAAAATATTTAACCAAATAGTATTCCTATCTTCCAAGCCACGACTATGATACACGTCAGAAACATCATTTCGTGTCCCCGCTGATGCTCAAAACAGTTGCACAGAGGTCATATTTATATTTGGCACAATATGATACCAGAACACATTAAAGACTTAAAAAATAAAACCCATTTTAAAGCCAAATTGAAAGAGTTTATTTTTGGAAATGCTTGAAGCCTGATTCAAAATCACCTCGTAAATTAGGAGTTTGAAATTATCACATCCTTACTTTTAATAATAATAATATAAAAAACTAATTTTAATCAACTTTATAAATAAGTTTATTTTAAATTCAACTATTCTTTATGTAATTTTAATTTTGTAGTTTTAGTTATTAGTTAAGCATATCTTTTCTAGATATTGTTTTATTACTAAACAAGCGTTCACTCGCTTATCGGGTATTTTATTTATACGATTTTGGTAGTGAAACATTTTCAACTTATTGAAACTATATGAAATATTGCTTAAAAAATGTAAATCATAGATTATGTAATTATTAGAAGTGCCACAGGGTAGTGTACAGTGCCCGTTACTCTTTTTGGTTTACATAAATGAATACCTTTCTAAAATACTGTTTATAAATCTTTACTGTTTTTTCTGTTATGGGTGCAAATTATGAGAGTGTAGTTGATATAATGAATTAAAGTTATTAAGCAGCTGGCTCAAATTAAAAAATTAAATGCAAAAAAAAACAAATGGAATGAAGCTGGATCCTTATCTAAACTTTAGCCTGCCTGTAGATTATATGTGCAAAAAAATAGGTAAGAGAATTGAGAATCTTTACACATAATGCCTACTAAACTCTCTAAATGGGCAAACAGTAATGTGTATAATTGCATTACTTATCTGCAATTCAAATATTGTGCATCTTTACTAATTTCATGTAATATATTGATAGGTTACAGATTTTACAAATGCGTATACTATTGGGTAAAAACCAGCCTATGAATGTAAATTTAAAATTCTTAAATATCCAGCAAATGATTGAAGAATCTGGTTTGATATTTATTTTCAAGGTATTCAATAACCATCAGGGTTTTTAACGAAAATGTCAGATATGCTTGAATACAATTTAAGTATAAATTGGAACTACCATGTATATAGGTATCATGTCAGCACTCTTGAAAAATCAATATTTGTTGAAGAGCTTAAAGAGTATGATAATCTACCTTTTATAATATTAGAGTTTAAAAAAAAATATCAAGACCTATTTTCAAATCTAAACTTTGTTTTCTTTTAGTTATTTTAAGTTACGCATTTCTTGTAAATACCTCTCTTATTGTATATAATCTCCGTGTAAGAACTATTAACATTCAATAGTGTACTTTTAAATTTAGAAAACATCTGATAAAAGAAAAGAAGAAAAAAAGAAGGCGGGCAAAGATAGAGATCGTGATGAAAGAGATGACCGTTATGAGAGACGTTATCGCGAACATTATGTAGGAGGTAGAGAGTTAGACAGACGGTCGAAAAGACACAGATCCAGATCAAAGGAACGCAAAGATCGTGACCGCAAAGATAAGGAAAAGAATAAAGATGAGAGCCGGAGTAGTCGTTACAGATCCAGGTAATAAATAATTTTATTTATCCCTTATATTGAAATTGAGAACTTCAGAACTACTAATTCATACTTTGCGCGCATGTCCGATTCATTATCATTTCTGATTTTTTACTGCGGGTGCAACCTATTACATTTCTGTATTTCAGGTATATATAACAAATGAAATCAGGTTTAGGCAAAGACATAATTAGAACCCAAAAGTTAATTTTTAACTATTGTGCATGCAAAAAGTTACTATTAATGCAATCAGTTCAGAATTATTTCTGTGAACAATGCAATTACACAGAAAGGAACCAAAAGTTTCTTCCTTCTATCTTTAATGTTCACGCTAATAATTCTTTTAAAATAATAAATTTAGATACTTGGTGGGAGAGGACTATTTGCTTAAATTACCAAGACTATCTTGCTTAAGTTAATTTATCTGGCTACCCTTGGGCAATGAGGGACACCTGGTAGTCTATCCTCCTTGGTTTCTATAAGTTTTAGCTTTTTTACTGCCTTTTTTACTCTGTAATTAATTTATCCATTCCGTGATTTACTTACCCTTTCTATTCTCTATTTTTGATACTTGTTAATAATCGGATTCTGATATTCCACATTCTTTTATTTTCTTGGATTAACATTTTTTCCTTCAAATTTATCTTTAATAGTCAATATTTGGATAGATTACTATTTTTTTTTAACTATTCATCATTGTTCTTATATTTTAGTGTTGTGTTTTGCTGGCACCACATAATTATTTAGTTATTTATTATGTACTTTGGTAATTAATACATAAAATAAACTTTTTGTGTTTCAGATCAAGGAGTAAGGATCGTAATCGCAGGTCCCACTCACGCCATTCTAATTCCAGTGACAAAAAGAGAGACAGAGATAGAGAATAACTTTGTTCTAAGTACGATTCGTAGTGAATCCATTGTTTTTAGGGGGCAATTTATAGAAAAATGTCTATACATACAATACACACACATGTTTAGTTTTTGACACTTATTTTATATAATTTGTCATTGCTAATTTAGAATAAGGGTAGCATTATAACTGTTTGGAAAATTAAATCATTTATTATAAATATTTTGTGTTATCAATTATAATATATAAGTATACAAAAGTAAATAAAAATACCAACTTAATTTTTGTTTGACAATTTATAACCAACGATATCTCTATATATACACACAGCCAAACTTATATGGAATCACTGTGTATTTCTGAATAAACTTTTTGTAAGGAAAACATTTGGTATCAAACTTTAAGATAAGGCTTTTTGTTCAAAACAAACATGATAATAAAAAGAAACGACTGCTGCGATTTATTGTGAATTTTGTGTTTAGAAGTAAAATCACGATCCTCCGGTAGTTTTATTTCGGTCCAAAAAAAAAAAATGTCGAGACAACGAAGCACTAGTAAGGCCAAAAGTTCGGAATATTTTTGTCAAAAATGTCCCTACTTTTTATCTTACACAAACCGAAAATTGCATTGCTGCAGCCAAAAATGATGTTCAAATTAACCCACAGCCGACCTGGAGCTCAGGATCGCCGATGAACGTCATCTCCGCGGGACTCCCAAAATTTATGCGGGGAAGGAGAGAAACTCTGCGCCCGGGGAATTTTTGGGTCGCTGAATTCAAATATGGCATCGGCGAACACCCCCCGGAACCTGGACGTCATCCCCGATAATTTTTCTGACAAGATCGCCAAAAACGATCCCCCGAACACCTAGTGCAACGGAACGTGGCCCCGCTTCCGGCAAATGCTTCCTATGTTACCTCTACCCTTTCTAACTTCTTTGATTTTAACACATTTCTGCCTAACAAGACTTGTAGTGTACATAAATTAGTTGTCTCTGGTACATAATGAGAACGATATTGGTTCAAGCCGAGATTAAGGACCACAGAGAAGCGACAATAAATGTCGGTCCTTTGAAGTTCAGAAAGTAAAATTTTGTGACCTTGAATTTGTCTTATGACTGCTTATGAGACGGATGGCCGGTATAATACACCGAGAAAAATTAATGGAGCGTAATAAATGCTATACACTTAGAAAAAAAATATATTGAAAATAATATATACCAATATGGTCTTATGCTAATTACCAACCACGTTATTTTAGAACTAACGAATGCACGCAAACGTGATTTTATAGAGGGTTCAGGCAGACTAAATTTATTTTAGGTTTAACGTAATATATTCGGGTATTTTGGGTTTGACCACTGTTCTGACAGTGTTCACACTTTTTTCTTTGTTTTTATCATTTCTTTTTCATTTGTGTAGATCGTGGCAATCGTAGTTTAGATCAGGGCTGGTATTACCAGCCCTGGTTTAGATCACTATGAACTATAGTTTAGATTTATACCGTGTGTTCAAATTAAAGTGTTACAGTTAAATACCGCCTTTTATAAAAAAAAACGTTTCAGACGAAAGTTTTTTGGAGAAAACATTTTGGCCAAAATGGTTTTTTATAGCTATTCATAATATGGCCAACTTATTTTCGCGCAGCACAATTTTCAAGTAGGCGTTACTGAATATGTAAAAAATGGGGTTCCAATTTGAAAAAAAAAGTCCACCTCGATATGGCCATATTATGGTCAGCTATAAAAAAATGATTTAGCCAAAATTTATCCCCCAAAAACTATTAAACTTTTGTCTGAAACTTTTTTTATAAAATGCTTATTTTCGGCGATATTTAACTGTAACACTTTAATTTGAACACCCGGTATATTTGAGTGGTTTATTTTTTTTTATAATATGGATTTAGCAATATTGGCAGAGGCGGATGATGATGATATAGAGTTTTATTATACTAAATCATATTTTGGGAAATGATGAAACGCATGGTTTAAATAAACTTATATAAAATAATAAATTTCCATATACTCATAACAATAATCTAGCAATATTCTGCCTCTTCCCAATGTACTTTAAAAAACCTGAAAAACAATAAAATGTTTAAATTGGCACTAAAATTTTCAAGTTACTAGGTACTAATACAATAGACGCCAACATCGCCAACAAACACGAGCGAAATAGAAACAATAAACCAAGAATCCGCCTCAAATTACTAACGGCATACCACCATATGGAAGATATTTATTTCATAAATCCCTTCGCAAACTTACGGAATTAGAGTTTTGCGATTACGGTAAATATTTTGATATGCGTAAATGTCAAATAATACCGTACGCATTTAGCGTATGGTATTGGTGCTTGCCCGATGTCTAATAAAATATTGTTTTTTTACAGTTGTTTCTGTCGTGTTAAAACTTGATTTTTCTAGAAATAAAAATCTGATGTGTCCAACACATGACTTTCCTATCTAGTTATTATAGGCTTTTTCCGGTTATTTTGTACAACCTATTGCAGCATCTCTATAAATGTTTAGAGAATAAACTAAATATATACATTGTCCGGTAATGTTGTAGTTGACGGGTCTAGAAATGCGCATATTCACACCACTCTGCACTGACGTCTAGAATTTGAATTTGCTCAAGCCACTTTGCCAAATCTCCACTTTCATTTTAGCTTGCTTTATTTCATAGTTTATTATTTAGACAAATTGTAACCTCTGTAAATTAAAATGTATGATAAATAAATATAAAGATTTATATTATATTTTGAAATAACAATTCTGTTTTGTTTTATAAGACAGTTTTGATAGAATTTAAATTTTGTAATTATCACTATTGAAAGGTATTATTGACATTAAAAATAACGATCGTATTACTTGAAAATCTTTAGAATTTTTTTATTTTTATGGGATTTTTAATCGATGTAAAAATTGGTAAATAGATGATTAAAAGTAAAATAGTTATTTCAATCTGCTTATTCCCTGGTTCCAAATAATTAAATATAATTTAGCACTTTTCCATTACGGTCCATTTTAGAAAAATCATGTATAAACAAAAATTATAGAGATCGATATCGCAAACAACTTTTAGTCCAACAATTTTCATAAAAATCAGAATTTTGCACATTTTGTCAAATTTCTCGAATACGGACCATTTCAGGAAATTTTGAGCAAAAATTATAGATAATAATATTAGAAGTAACTTTTATTTGAACAATTTTCTTCTCCAAACATAAATAACATATATTCCATAAAATATAAAGACGGCCTCCCATAAAGTACCCCCCCAGATGTTCCGACTTTGTTCAAAATCTAATCATTTCACGTCAGGCCGAAATAAACCTTAAGTTTAAAATTTAATGTTTTTTTCTTTTTCCGTTTTTGAGTTTTCTTCAAAATGCGAAATTACACATTTTTTCAAATATCTCGAATACGGTCCATTTTAGAGAAATTATGTATAGAATAAAAATTATAGAGAATTATATTACAAACAACTTTTATTTAAACAATTTTTATAAAAAATTATTTTTTTTACATTTTGTCAAATTTCTCGAATACGGACCATTTTAGGAAAATTATGTATAAAATATAAATTATAGAGAATTATATTACAAACAACTTTTATTTGAACAATTTTTATAAAAAAATATTTTTTTTACATTTTGTCAAATTTCTCGAATACGGACCATTTTAGGAAAATTTTGTATAGAACAAAAATTATAGATAATTATATTAGAAGTAACTTTTATTTGAAGAATTTTCTTCTCCAAACGTAAATAACATATATTCCATAAAATATAAAAATGACCACCTATAAAGTACCCCCCAGATGTTCCGACTCTGCCCAAAATCTAATCAGTTCATCAGACGCTGGAATAAAGCTTAAGTTTAAAATTTGGTGTTTTTCTGTGTATCGGTTCATGAGTTATGCGACATACACACACACAGACATCATCGCGAAAATAGTCAAAACGGATTCAGGGGACCTCAAAACGTAAAAATCCGTCGAAAACTCGAGGTCGAAAAAAATCATGATTCCTATACTTTCCTTATATATGTATACAGATAGGAAAGTAATAAGAAACTTGGGGTGCTATTTTCAAAGTCGAGAGAATTCATTTCTCTCGAGAGAAATGTCATACGTCAACGTAAAACAGTATTTTTAGGGTCCTAAGGGCCAGTGTAAACTCACTGATTGTTTCTCACGGTTTATTTAGAGATAATTAATATCCTCCTAAGAATTTTAATCCTCGAGGCCTTTAAAAACAGCGTTTCCACATTGACGTATGACATTTCTGATGAGAATCTTGAGAGAAATGAGTACTCACACGGTTTGAAAATAGGTCCCCAGGGGACCTATTTTCCTCCATGGGTTTAACATTGGCGTGGGGTCTCTAGAAGATACATGCTTTGTGGTCAGTAAGGTCCACATTTAAACATATCGAGCATGCGCAAAGTATTGTAAAGATATTACATTAGATACTTTTTTATGTGGTTACGGGTTATATGGTTCATTTTGTATATTTGGGTTGGGCATTTTTGTATTTACCAAAGAAAACTCTATTTACTATGAAAGAAATTATATTTGAAATACAGGGCACTGAAATTCACGAGAGCGATGTTGATGACCACTGGATACTGTTATTTATATTGAAATATAAAGATGAAAATATGAGACTACTGGCACAAGTATTTATCATTGTTATTTCATCACAAATAACACTTATTAATTTTTTTCTTCCTTTTGTTGGAGGAGACATATTTAAATAAATAACAAAAGAACGAAAACCAAATGACGTCTGTGACAAAAACACTTATTTATCTGAACAAAAACAAAGTAAACAAATCCCACATACTTTGATTACTATACGAGGCAAGAGAGAGGTCCGACACGCCCAACATAGGGCGCGGCCATTTTGAACCCTGTGACACAGTTTACAGCTAAAGAATCAGATCGCTCACTCTGCGTCGGCACTTTTGATCTCAATGTTTCAGTTTATACACTGTGCAACTCGGATAATACAATATATGACAACCGCCTATAATAAAACAGTAGTTTTCTGCGTATCCTGAATTTGTATACCTGGAGTGGATGTTATTTTGGAACTTTCAACTGGTCCGAGTGAGCTAACTGATTCTTTAGCAATAAACTGTGACTTCAAAAATAATATTCACTGACACTGACAGCAGCAAGCAAAATATCAGGTGCGTTTTAATAATCCGCTTCTGCTTCCAAAATTGTCGGTTTAGTCGTTTTAACCTGTCAGATTAAAACAAGAAAACCGACAATTCCGAAGCTGAAGCGCATGATTAAAACGCACCTATTAAAAATATTGCGCCAAGATGTAGGCAACACGTAATAAGGGTTCAAAATGGCGGAGTTTTCTATCTCCTTTTAAAAGGCACTCAGAAAGCTGCGCAGTGCGACCATTCTCCGTATAGTGAAAGAAAATCAAAGTATGTGACAAATCCCCAATTTGACATGTGACAACGACAAGTGCTACGAGTTACCACGGTATGTCTGACGTCATCAGAGTAACCACAACGCTGTTCCGAAGTATGTCGTGTTAAGCTTATAAAGAAATGCCTTTATTTATAAGCTTACTAGAACATACTATAATAAAAAATAACAAAGTCAAAACATCCTAAAATTTCTAAAATACAAATTTCGTTTAGAAATCCCTAAACTTAAATGAAATTTGACATATGACATTCAATAATAGGGAAACCATGGTATGCGTAATATCACCACAGTAACCACAATACTGTAACCAAGTATGTTGTAGTAAGCTTATAAAGAAATGCCTTTTGATTACTATACGAGGCAAGAGAGAGGTCCGACACGACCAACATAGGGCGCGGCCATTTTGAACCCTGTGACACAGTTTACAGCTAAAGAATCAGATCGCTCACTCTGCGTCGGCACTTTTGATCTCAATGTTTCAGTTTATACACTATGCAACTCGGATAATACAATATATGACAACCGCCTATAATAAAAAAGCAGTCTTCTGCGTATCCTGAATTTGTATCCCTGGAGTGGATGTTATTTTGGAACTTTTAACTGGTCCGAGTGAGCTAACTGATTCTTTAGCAATAAACTGTGACTTCAAAAATAATATTCACTGACACTGACAGCAGCAAGCAAAATATCAGGTGCGTTTTAATCATCCGCTTCTGCTTCCGGAATTGTCGGTTTAGTCGTTTTAACCTGTCAGATTAAAACAAGGAAACCGACAATTCCGAAGCAGAAGCGGATGATTAAACGCACCTATTAAAAATATTGCGCCAAGATGTAGGCAACACGTAATAAGGGTTCAAAATGGCGGAGTTTTCTATCTCCTTTTAAAAGGGACTCAGAAAGCTGCGCAGTGCGACCATTCTCCGTATAGTAAAAGAAAATCAAAGTATGTGGGTTTATGTCATATAGCTATCCAGTTCAATGAACTGGAGTGGGGTAGAAAGCCAATGTGCATATTGTATTAATAGAACAAGATGCGACTCTATGGGCGCAGCCATTTTTATTTCTCATCTCACTCGGGAGTATTTATAATAACCATTTTCTGTTTCACATTGTTATTGTTCAATCCACATGCTGGTGGATCAGACAATAACAAAGTGAAATAGAAAATGGTTGTTATAAATACTCCCGAGTGAGATGAAAAATAACCTGTCTTTGCCCATAGAGTCGCATCCAATGAAGTGGAGAGGGGTAGAATGATAACTATATCAATGAAAAAGTCTGGACACTATGCACAATTTCGTTTTGCCCATTTTGTAAACAAAATTCAGGGACGGTTTAACAACATTTTGTGCAACAATTATAAAATAGTGCATCGAAAAATAATTAACAAGTATAATTTAATACTAAATCGGAATAAAAGCATAAAAAATCATAAATATAAGCAAGATAACAAAGAATTGACGCCAAAAAATCTTACAACAGCCAAAACACAAACAAAAAACAGAGCTGAACATGAACATAATCGCTGAATAAAGTCGATCCTGGAATTTGTTTACAGTCTTAAAAATAATCAATTGTTTTATCATGCTTACAATCAAAAAAATCAAAACTGCGTTTTTAAATGAAATGTTCAATTTGTGTTCCATTGATTTCCATGCAATAATAAATTCTCTCGAACTAATAAATAAAAAAAAAATCAAAACATTTTCTTATCTTGCCTTCATTTTTTGTTCTTAGAAGGTTTATCACGTTTCTTCGATCATTTGATGTGATAAAACAATTAATTTTTTTTTAGAATGTGATTTTTTTCATACACCGTTGTAAAGAGGCTTTCAAGACCTTACAAATGATGTATCACTCAACCCTTCTTCCCTATTATTCCATTTTGAGGGGTTGAAGCTCCCCCTCATAGGGGGTTGCTGGTTCAAGCCTCAAATATACGTCAAAAGATGTCCCCCAAAGAAAATCATCCGACGTGTTTCGGGAAATTTTTCCAATTACTATGGGGTGGCTCGTCTGAGATGGAACACACTGTATAGTTGTGATCGGACAAAATTAAATACTGGTCCATAAATACTGCAAAACGATTGTTTAAGGAAATCATTCAAAAAAGATGTAAGAATATTCTTGATTCAATAAAAGTATAAATACATAAACAACACTAAAAAACATTTAAAAACAAATGTTCGATTTTGAGATTATATCTAAATTTCTCAAAAATGTATTGGATGGAAGATGGCCTTAATTCATAAAATGCCATACTGGTGCCATCTATTAACAGATAGTCACACTATCGAGTTTTGTAGATGCCGCAACTTGATTTTAAATTAACGCACTTTTCTCTCACGCTCATAGAGAAACGATTATTACTCACGTTCAGGCTTCGCCATAGAAAAATAAAAATGGATCCACATTTTAAACATTTGTGGTCAAAAAAATGAAAGGAGTTGTGAGCGAACTGTGTTTACAAACAAATATTATAGAACCTCATCTGACCTCATCCTAGTTTTACTCATAAAGACCAAGATGAAAAAAGGCCAATGATTTGTGCTCAAAAAGTTATTGTCCAATTTTTGGGTGATATTCATTATTATATTTGTCAAATAATACCCAAATATGTTCAAAAACTTATATACTATTTAGGTCAACTTGTTAATTTTTGCTTAGTTCACCTATTAAGATCATAAATCAGATATGTTTTCTATTTTTATTGAAATTTTTATACCTTTTATTGCAAGAAAAATGTAAAAATTTAAAAAAGTTATGACTCTTGTTAATTTTTAATTTTAAGATACACACTGCACCTTTATTTTTGTTTTGTTTTAGATATTCCTCGGTATGGAGATTTTTGGAATGTACATAAATGTGTTTCTTAATTAGGGTGAGTTTCAAAGCCCACCTGTATTGAAGCTGGATGCTTATTGTACCCGAAATAGGCATTACAACTATTCTAGATTGAAATAGACGCGGAAAGGCCTTAAAGGGACAATAAGTATAAGAATATTAGAATTAGAATGATTTGTCCTTGGATTAATAAGGGATATTTAAAACATTAAAACAATAATTGTGTTTATATTGAACTACTTTGACTTTTTATAAAAACTATATCCGGTTTTTTTAATAACAGAAACATTGTCATGTGCTATGCTGGTTATCATATTATATTTTTATTTTTCAGTAATTTAGTGTGTGATATAGTGCTTGTTATGTTCAAAATGAAACACATGTAATTACATGGTAATTCTAAATAAATTAAACTTGTTAAAAATGTGTTTTATTTTTCAACTAATTTTATTTTTCAGTTAAAACAAGTGACATTTTCCATTTTTCAACATTTACCTACAACAAAAATTCACTAAACTTATTGTTTGTTTAGTAGTTGTAAGTAAAAGTTGTCAAATAGGAAAATGTTACTTCAAAGTGCTTCAAATTCTAAATTATTAAGCCCGCCAATTTTTAAATCGATCTAATTAGTAGTGTTCTACTTTATCGGCTGAAACTGACAGGTGTAGTTCAACCGTAAGCGCTTAGCGCGCTACTGTCGAGGTCAAGCAAACTTGTTACCAACTATTTACATGGAATCCAACCCCCGTGGGCTTCGCAACGAAATGGAGACAGGCGTACCAGAAAAGCTACAAAAAATGAGTCTGGTTCGAGCTGGTGCCGCTACAAATATCCGCTAAGCTAGCGGATCCGCGCTTTTCTCAGGTTCAGTACAAGCTACAAAAGGGAGACTAGGTAACAAAAAAGCTACAAAAAAGTTACGAAAAACCAGCTGGGTCTGAATCTGTGCCGCTACTATGGAATTTATGGAAATTCAAGCTAGCGGATCCGCTGTTTTTTCGAACCTGGGCAAAGCTACAAATTCGCAAATAGCGTAACAAAAAAGCTACAAAAAACCCGCCAGGTATTGAATGATGCCGCCACAGAGTGCCCGCTAGCTTGATAGAGCCTTCTTTGTCATTATTTTTGAAAACATATTTTGTTATGGGTGTAAAACGGGTTTTAATTTAGTGATAGCAGCGCGCTAAGCGCTTACGGTTCAACTACCAACAAGGAAACAAGTCCCGCCATTTATTCTAACCTTCTCTTTTTATTTTTCTATGGGTCCCACTTTTCGCTTACGCATGTCGTATCCCTAGGTTGCCAGATCAATGTATTATTGACCTTGTTTCTGTTCAACGCCATCTATATCCAAGCATTCCTATTAATCACTTTACTGTCAATTTTTAGTAATTTTTGTGTTTTTCAGTTGCACATTCACGTGTAAAAAGAAGTAAGGTTAAATCTAAATTTCTTTAGTTTTATAAATGCTTTCAAAACATCATGGACATGATATTAACAAAACCAGTTGTAGATGGTCAAAAGTACAAATCGATAGAAGTACATAAACTAATAGAGCTTAACTATGATCTAGGAACTCTTCTTGCGGAAGATACAAACGAATTTGATGTTCACCATTTAAGGTAGTTATGCATTTAATACCTACATTTTTGATCTGTCCTAGCCAAAATATTTATTATTTTTAGAAAAGATAAAAACGATTATTTACTGCAATTATCTAGAGATAATACACAATTGTTGATAAATCAAATATGGTGCTTACCCACAGAGCGTATAGAGGATGCTATAGTTGCAAAATTACCCATTCAGAAAACCAGACTTCCTCGTATGAAACATATTCCAAAACCCAGACCGTTAACAAAATGGGAGCAGTTTTCTAAAGCTAAAGGTATAGTAAAAAAAAAGAAAGCAAAATTGTCTTGGGATGAACAACTGAAAAAATGGGTACCTTTATTTGGGTACAAAAAAACACAGGCTGAAAGGGAAAAGGATTGGGTACTAGAGGTTCCTGCTAATGCAAATCCTATGGAAGATCAATTTGAGAAGAATATTCAAGCTAAAAGTGAAAGAGTTGCTAAAAATGAACTTCAGAGGCTGAGGAATATTGCTAAATCTAAGAACATCAAAGTGCCTAAGGTTGGAGTATCCAATTCAGAAGTGTCATCAGCTAAAGATGTAAGTAATATTAATCGGTTACTAAAACAGTGGTTAAAGGAATTAACCCTTTCCCTGCTGGTGCCACATATGTAATTTTTTTTTTTTGAGTAATATCGTGGATATTTTGTTCACATAAAACACAACACCATTCTGGCTGAAACTATGATCCTTGGCATACATATCTCAAATGCGTGAAACAAAACTAGGGTGCATGAATGAAGTTTTATTAAAAAAATTTACACTTTTCTACCTGCTCGTTGCCACCATCAACCACAGTAACTCGATCAATTAATACTAGTTGACATGTAAAGCGCAACTGTATTAGAAGCATCTGAGGACAACACTACTTAAGTAAACAGGCACCGCCTAAGGAATTTTTTTAAATTGGAGTATAGCTCTATCTATCTTTTGTTATTTCTGCTATTTAGTAAAACCATCAAGTTAGTAGGGAGAGGAGATAACATACCATACAACTATTCAAAGTAATGTGGTACTACTAGACTGTCATTAGGATGGTAACAAGATGGTGCTTTAAGTAGGTCCGGACTTAGAAATTTTTGGGTTGTTTAAAGTGGTCACAGTAATTTTAATATTTATAATTCAATCAATACTTACGTAAGTATTCATAACAAATACAAATTAAATAAAAGAAAATGTGTATCAATATTTATGTGGCATTTTCTAATTTGTGGCTATTTATGTAAGCAGTTAGGAAATCCACAATTAGAGATAACAAAACATACTTTTCAAATACAAGATGAATAAAATAAACATGCCTGATTAAAAAAATATTTATTATTAAATATAAATAAAAATATAATAAATTTAAAAAGTGTTTTCTTTAAGACATTTACAAAAATGTATTGAATAAGTCAAAAAGCATAAATGTCCTTATGTACCTAAAAATAAAATTAATAGTTCCTACAAACATGGGTCAGTAGAAGCTTTGTTTCAAAGATGCAGAATGTTTCAATTTCATTAAAAAAAAATTGTGGAAATTTGGAAAACAATCAACAGTATCAAAAACTATAACAAGTCAATAAATATGACACTAGATAACTAGATTTTTTATGGTTTTATTTTTAACAGAGTTTGAATAAATTGTAGCTCCTAAATGAAGCCGAAATTAAAGGGTACTTTTTATTAAAGCCATTTAAATTTGTAACTAATTTTGCTATCAGGGGGTGGGTAGATTCAGGACTTTCAGAACCAAGAGACCTGGGTTCGAATCCCGCTGGTGAAATTTTTTTTTATTGAATTTAATGAATTATTAATTTTAATGCATAGGTAGGATTCCCCACTTGACCTTTCATTGTTGGGTACTATCATCTGAATTAGGGCGTGGTTCAAAGCCCACTTGTACTGAAGCTCTAGGCTTATTGTACCCCTCACAGTTTCTATCCCATCAGATTGATTTTCTTGATGAATTCAAGAATATGTCTGATGGGCGCTTTCGCGATTTCTTCAGGTTCCCGATATTGTACCCTGAAGTACCATTCCCGTTCCCATTTAAGGTTCTGGCAGTGGCATAGTATGTTAATAGGAGTTTCGTCCTCCTCTTCACATATTCTGCATAGGGAGTCATCAGATATCCCTAAGAGATTTAGGTGTCTTCTAAGGCCGCAGTGTCCCGTAAGGAGTCCTATTACGGCCTTGAGTTCGCTTCTGCTAAGGTTCAGCAGTTGATGTTGTCTGCTCGTGGATGGCCCCTTTATGAATCTTTTGGACTGTCTAAGTCCAGGAAGTTGTTGGGTACTAATGAACAGTGCTGTTCCTAAAGTGACGCTGGGAAACAGTAACAAATACACAGAACATGAGGCTAAACCACTACACATATTGTTTAATTTATCACTAAAACTTCAACAATTTCCTAACTGGAAAGAGAATTATGTTATACCTGTATTCAAGAGCGGATCCAAGCAGGAAATTAAGAACTACAGACCAATTTCGATTCAGTCCTCTATTCCAAAATTATTGGAGAAGCTGGTAAATAATTGTTTATCTTGGTACTGCAAAAAACTTACTTATTGATCAGCAACACTGTTTTACAAAAGGAAAATCTACTACAACTATTCTTGTTATTTATCACAATTACATAATAAATTATGTAGAAAATGGTTTGCAGGTAGATGCTATATATTCAGACTTCTCTAAAGTGTTTAATCAAGTCAATTATGAATTATTATTATTATTTTTTTTTTGGTGTGTCATCGGCTTCAACTGCTAAGGTTATTTCGCCTCATGTTCTGAGTAGGCTTTGTTACTGTTTCCCAGCGCCACTTTAGGAACATCACTGTTAATTAGAACCCAACAGTGAATGGTCGAGTGGGGAATCCTACCAAGGCATCAGAATTAATTTTAAATAATTAAATTAAATTAAAAAATTCCGGCCAACGGTGGGATTCGAACCTGAGACCCTTGGATCCACAGGCAGAGACTCTACCACTGAGCCACCCACCATTATTATTATTACTCAAACTGCAAGCCTACGGATTCCCCCCTTTTCTTCTAGAGTGGCTTAAAAGTTATCTCATTGGTAGAATGCAGTGTGTCAAGATAAAGAATTATTTATCTGATCCCGCAGAAGTTTCTTCTGGTGTCCACTTAGCTCCTTTTCTTTATAATTTATTCATTAATGATGTTTGATCCGTTTTTGAATAATTATCTGCTGTTTGCCAATGTTTAAAGATTTACTTAAAGGTTAACAGTGGTGATTGCTATTCGCTCCGTGCGAAGTCATGGAAAGGGAAGCAAAAGCGATACTAGCGCTAGCTGCGGATAATTCGTGCATTTTAGGGGGATTTTTTGTAATTTTGGCATATCAAATACACGTATACATTTTACTTTTTTTCAAAAAAGTAGGTAAAAACAACACAATAAGTAACCGGAGTTGCTGTGTTGAAAATTGTACAAATACTAGCAAAAAAAAAAACAGTGAAACTTATATAACAAATTTCACTAACAAAGTGGAAATTAAATCAAAGAAATATATGGATAGGTGTACAATAAGAAGAAAAATTACCTTTATTTTTGTGATAATAACAGTAATGCTGGAAATAGTAGACATCAGAAACTAGAAAGTTTTTAAATAAACAATAAATTATCATTTTACGATGTTCTTTAATATCCCTTTATTCTTAAATGTTCATTCAGCAAGGACTAGATTTCAAGATTTCTGCCGTTGATTATAATATTTGGCTGGTATGCAATTTTGTGACTTACTGATCGGAAACCAGTTTTAATCATTCATTCTATGTTTTCTTTAGAACAAAAATGAAAATATAAGTAGCGATCCTTTTTATACATTTTAACTTCACGCTATTATAAATGGTTTCTTCAATGACAACTTTTTAGACTTAGGCAACTTCTCATACATTTTCCAGTAAATACTGTTGCCTGCCTATATTTTATTATTGATTTTTAATGATTATACATAATTTTCTTCAATTTAAGCGTGAAAAATATATAATAATAATAATAAATTAATGTTTTAATTGTTTTATAAATCCATATACTTTTATTAAAACTAACATATATACTTTTTATTTACGAATTCTATTAAAAATTGTATTTGTCAGTATAGGCAGAAATAGTCCTTTAATACCAAAACAAATTGGCGCTGCTGTCGCGCACGTAGCGAATAATAAATTTGAAAAAGATTTCCATGCCTTATGTAGTAAGTGTTACTGCATTACTTTTACAAAAAATCCTAATCAAATAACACATAACTACTGTCTGGATAACAAAATGCTAATTAAACTTGTTACCGAAATTAAAGACCTGGGAATCTTATTTTGCTCAGATCTTTCCTTTAATAATCATATTAATCAAATTGTTAATAGAGCAATGAAAATGTTAGGTATGCTGATAAGAAACGCTAGCTCGCTATCTTTAGATGCCTGTAGAATGGTGTATGTTTCATATGTTAGGTCGATTTTGGAGTACAGCTCTACCATATGGTGTCCTCTGTAAAAAAGATTGAAAATGTCCAAAATATTTATGATATTGTGCCTTTAAACTTGGTTTAGTGTACCTACATATAATTATTCCATAATTCTGAACTTAATAAACCTCCCAACCCTTGTAAATCGAATCTTCATGGTTCTGTCATTCCTCTATAAGATCATAGCCGGTATTGTTATATCTGATGAGTTATTATGCATGATTGCATTTAGAGTTCCCACAAGAACTGGGAAGAATAATAGTCTATTTGCAATTCAACTTCACCTTATTTATTATGTTTACCATGCGCCCCTACCTATACTAACTGGCTAATCAATACAATTTAGATGTCACTGGGTGTTCAACTATATTAAACCCATCTACATCTTTTTATTACTAAAATACATGCTTTTTTGGGTACATTGTACAACTAAAATCGTTAAATCCGTATCAAAAATATATTGAAAAGCCCAAAAAAAATAAAAATTTTAACACCTTGTATTTTTAAAACAAAGCATATGGGTCCAATGTTGATAGGAATTATTTGTCTTATTTTTGGGTAAGGAATCATGCCAGGAGTGATTGCACATGTTTTTTGAAACATCGTGTATAGGTAAATAAAACAAAGACATTATATTTCACTAGGGATCGACCGGTATCGGTATATCGGTCAATATGTAGAGTGCAATACCGGCCTATATCGGTATCGGCCTAATAAAAATATCAATTGAATATTTCAATTGTCAATGTTTTAAAGAAATTAAAACTCAAATTTTAAATAAAAAAAAAACAATTTAAATTATATTTTTATTTAGAATTTAAGAAGAAGAAAAAAACATTTGAAAAGTAAGCAAAAAAGATTAAGCTTTCAAAAACATATTTTTTTTAATATTATAGTCAAGTTTTGGTACGTTAAAATGCAACAAAATTAAACTTTCTGTTTTTTTTTTGAGCATAGACGATTTCTTGTGCTTTTATATACAGCGTGATTTATTAAGGGCAGCGACCGGCCGTATCTCAGAATATCTTCAAGTAGATTTTTTTTTGTAAATAAAAACAGGCCAATTGTTATTTCAAGGGGACACCTGTCTATAGGTCATTCTTCATCTCCCCTCCGTCAATCTAACCAATAAAATTTAAATAGAGAAAGTACCAAGTATGACATATCACTGAAAATTTTATTTTGTGGGAAATTCAACAATATGACTGTTCATTGTGTTACTTTTCATTTTAACGCCCTCTAACGGGATAAAAACTGTTACACATTGTAAAGTGTGACACTTCATTTAAAAGATAATTTTATTAGTAATTCAATGCACTACAACTAAATCAAAAATGAACTTAAAACGAAAAAATATATATCATTATTACTAACCTTATTTTGTTGCAAGTGCAATTTAGATATATTTAGGTTAATGTTATGTGGTGCATTGGATTATTAATAAAATTAGCTTTCAAATGAAGTGTCACTTTACAATACGTAACAGTTTCTTATCCCGCTAGAGAGCGTTAAAATGAAAAGTAACACAATGAACAGTCACATTGTAGTCATACTTGGTACTTTCCCTATTTAAATTGTACTAGTGAGAGTGACGGAGGGAAGAGGGATGACATATGCCAGTTGAGGATATTATACAAAGGTTCATCCATTGAAATAAAAATCTACCTGTTTTTGTGATCTACTTTAAGATATTTTGAGATTATTCTTCACCCTTAATAAACCATACAATACCAGCTAAAGTGGATAGCTGTCCAAGTACTGTGCTTGGTGAGAGTGTTGAGTATATTGCACATTTATATTTATAATAGGAGAAAAATGTCTTATTTTGGTGCCCACCAAATCTAAATATCTCCATTTTTGATATTTTCTCTAATTTTAACGTCACCTTCAATTTTATTTATCATATCAGTATCAGTCTTCTTCTTCTTATATGGTGGTGATTTACTAGCTGTTATACCAGTAAGTTCTTCAAAGGAATTCCAAAACAAGCCTTGAGAAATCAAGTCAGGGACGTTGTTCTGAACCTCTTGGTTTACCTGATTTGATTTCTTAGCAATTTTTGCTAAAGGGACATAATCAGTTAATGTTTCCTAAGTTTTATAGTGAATTATTCACAATCAAAATTTATGGCCGATATCGGCCATGCGTATATCGGTATCAGCTACAAAAAATCATATCAGTCAATCCCTATATTTAACAACATAATCATAGGAGGATAGTATCCAAGTAGATTCATCTTGCAACAAAGTGAATGTTTTAAAATGTAGGCTTAACTTTTCACAATTTATTACTTGATGAGAAAAAAATATTTAAAATAATGAAATTATAAGAAATATATGTAAGATATATATTAATTTAACTTTATATAGACGTAAATTATTATGATAACATCATTTAGTCAGTTTTTTTAGGATTCTGTTTACTAACTTAAATTTTATGCCCATACCTCCATGGTTATTCCCTATAATTTTTTTGATTTCTACACAATCACGTAAAGCACAAGATATCATTATGTCCAATGTAAAATTTATAAGTAAATGATATTAGGATAGTAACAAAATCTCCCGGTTTCCGGTGGGCCCATCCGTCCTTGGTAGACCTATATATTGTTATCTACAAATTCTTATTTATAGTTTGTTTTCATATTTTTCAGAATTTTTATGTAGCCAAATTATATAACACTGCCCAAATATTTATTTTTAGCTACAAGCTGCCGTTACAGTAGCTAAAGCTTCAACAGCAAGTCTCGGCAAATTTCAAAAAGAGCTGCCTAAAGAAAAAGAAGCCAAGGGCGTATCTGACATAACTCCAGGTGCAAGCAGAAAAAGAAAAATGCCACCCGTTTTGGGAGATGTAGAGAAAAGAGAAAATTTGGCAATAGTAGATACTATTTTGAATAAGAGACCCAAATTGAATATAGAGAAAGCTGTAGCAAGACATATAAATAATGAGCAAGTAGAGTAAGTAAAATATTAATGAAATAGACAGTGTTTTCATAAATGTTTAATTTTTCTTATAATAATTGCTCCATTGGTTACAAGACTTATATATCTATCAAGTCGAATATACTTTATTGTCTGAAAATAGAAAATTATATGGACAAAGCCTAATACTTATTGAATCGGTTATTTGGAAGAGGACAGAAACTGCAATTTCGGTCATTATCATTTTATGCGGTTTTGCTATAAATTTTATTGAACGCCCATTTGGTACGACAAAGGGAACAAAATAGCACGCTAGAACTCCTAGAACTACATTAACTAGACACCCGTTTCACTGCGTTTGGTTCAAAAAGGTCATGCAATACAAAAATGTGACCTTTTCGAAATAGTTACGCTAAAACGCAGGGGCATGTTTTGGTGTGTCATCATTAAAATCACTGTTTTAAATTGTATATTGTTGAGTTAGCAGTGAATTTTTGTTGTGATTTTTGGTGTAAACATATAAATGGGCTCCTTTCATCATTTTTTTCACTAGCAAAGCCTGACAAGGGTCACCAGGTCTAAGGCGAATCTTCCTGCTAAAGAGGCATATAATAAAGCCTTTTTATTGTAATAGATCTAGAACAAATATTCTATTAAGCTCACCTCTCAATGTCATGTAATAACTTTAACTTATGTTGTAATTCATCAGATATCTTCACAGTTTGGAAGGTATTAAAGCAATTATGACAATGCTTAAAATTTATTATTATTATTGTGTAAAAAATTCATCGCAACATTCCTGGGGCTCCGACACACCCAGTACATTACGCGAAAGGCCTGGTCGCTGAGATGATCACTCCTTACATCCGCTCGGTCAGTGATCTTCAGCCAAATTCAATTGACTCAAAAGACGAAGGGACCCAAGGACTACCGCTTTCTGCATCTTCACCACTAGTTGTTTTGATGAGTCTCGGCAAGCCGGTATTTTTTGTAGCTCCGTGAGCATAGTATCCTTGATTTCCCATAAAACGACCACAATTAGAACTACCATTCGTACACTGTATTCTGCATACACTCTTTGCAATCAGTGGAATGTATTATTATTATTATTATGAAATTATTATTCTGCTAAAATCCCCATCAATATAAAAAAGTTAAAACTTTGAAATCCTTAATCCGGTATACTTCCCTAGTAAAACGAATAATTTTACAGTATAATATTTAACTCTCCAACAGCGGTCTCCGAAGAGATGGCTAAAGAAGACTTAATATTTTTATGAAAATTCTTTGCTATTATAGAATTATTTAACTTATTAAATAATATGTGAAATTATATTTGTTTAATAAATAATGCAAGGGGAAAACCACTAAGGTCAAAACGTATTTCGGAAATCAAATAAAAATGTTTTATGTGATTTCGCTGAAAATCCACCCTAATTTTATAAGATGACCTTTTTTGCTTTGGACTATTTCCATGTATTTTGATCACAAGCTACTGAATTTACGTTTTTGAGCAGACAAATTGATTTCGAAGTGATTTTGGCGATGATTTCGACCATGATGTTCGACCATGATTTTCGATAATGATTTCGACCATGATTTTCGATGATGATTTAGAAATTTTCGTAGAGATTTTGAGTGAAACCATACCAGTATTTCGGGAGTGGTTTACCCCTCGAAATAATGTATCAGATTTTTATTTTTAATGTTTTATTCTGAATAAGTTTGGAAAAGGGCACAAATGAAATAAATATCAAAATATTTTTATAATCTAGATTCTAGATTGTTTCAAACATCCATGAAAAATAACTATAATTAGCTTCCTCACATACCAATGAATATATAAAAATATGTACATTCAATTTGATTTAAAAATATTTTAACTTTCTACTGTAAAATTGAGTGTTAAGTAGATGTGCCATTTTCCAAATAACCAATTCAATTATTATTAATGTTAAACATGTGCTCATACTATTAAAATTATTATATAATGCTTATCTTGATTTAATTATTGATATTATTGGTTTATTTTTAGGAGCAGTTCAATGGACAGACCAAAGTCGGTAAAGAAAAGTGGACGTAAAAGCAAAGACAATTTCAAAAGACCAAAAGGCAATAGTGGTCAGAGAACGGGTGGAAAAAGTGGAGGTGGAAGAAAGAGGCGTTGAGGCATTTGATAGTTTTTTGTTTTTTTGTAAATATAGGTAAGTTTTTAATCACCTGATATTATCAATTTGGTTTTTTGTGTGTAATATTGGAAATACTATTGAATAAAAAAAAATTAAATATATTAATGGAGAATGTATTGGAATAAATTATATGTGAAATCAATTATTTGAATGTCTAGTCATAAAAGTTATTGTTTTGGGCATGTTTTATTGAACATTTTTTAATAGTTGTTTACACGAATCTGATTTCTTATCTATTAAACTAAATAAAGCGTTTAGTACCAGGCCTGACGAGTGGAAGGGACAGGAGGGGGGGAAAAATCTCCGGAGCCCAAGGACTCGGCAGCCTAAAAAATAGGTTTTAATGTGCGGGAGGCGGACCCTTGCCAGTGTTGTGCCCCGGGGCTCTACCATGGCTCTGGGCGGGCCTGTAAAGTACACATTTCAATTAAAATTATAAAATAACAAATTTAACAGAGCCTCATTTAGGGAAATAACTTATTTTACCATGCAAATTATATATGATTTTGTACCAGCTATAAGTCAATTTCTTATAGGAGTATATTTTACAAAATTATCCTAATCAAATTATTCAAGGGTGTGATCAATGAACAATTACCAAGATAGCAACTAAGCAGTTAAAACGGAAGAGAATATTTTTAAATTAAAATCTTACTCAATGTAAATAAAATAATAATAGGGATCTTTAAAATCTCCTATTTTATTTTATTGATATTTTTTAAATGTTTACATATTGACTAGTCCTCTGTCCTCTTGAAACCTTAACATCTCAGAATATTATATTATATTTTGTTGTAATTTCATATACGAGAAATAATGTGACGTCACTAATCACTGGTATAGGCAACACAGCAAATACGTTTATTGGGTGGATTACAGTCCTTTAAATGTTCTTTATTACTTTAAAAACTGAAATGCAATACCACAAAAAAGATTTAACAGTAGCGTTGGAAACTTTTTTTTAGGAAAAAATATATTATAGTTAAATTAAATAAAAAATTAAATACATTTTGCGATATGAAATGATGGTGTTCCTGTAATATGTTTACTAATTTCTGATTGTTAGTCATGTGCAAATGAAAATTCATTTGGTTTGTTTCAATCTAACAGGTCAAAACGACAATTTAGTAGCAGAAGAGATTGATTAAGACGCATTCATTGTCACATTTGGAATTGCCATTTACCCAATGTAAAGTGTAAATAATGCAAAGTTTTGTATTTATCAAAAGCATAACATATTTCCTAATTATAATCCGATGAACTGTCATTAAAACGTTCCGACGTATTTTCTGATTTGTACATGAATGAGTCTGAGGATTGTCAAAATGATCAGAACTTCATCGCTTGTACAATTTATCAGCACATGCGCATTTGAACGTCACTACTCGTTCGTGCTAGTTTTGTTTGTTATTGTTGTGATTTTAAGTTGGCTTGGGTTTTTATTTCTTTCAATTGAAATGTACATAATTTTTGTTTTTATCTTGTGTACATTTTTTATGTAAAATACGTACTTATTTTAAATAAAAATAAACATCTTAAGTTTTCAAAATTATACATTCACATAAATCGTTCGAGACGGCTAAATAAATGTATTATGTTGCATTTTTAATAATGTTTGAAATACCAATTCACCAAACATGTGATTGGTTTATCCAATTTCACTGCATATTGCGTTCCAACAAGTACAAGTCGCTAATAAAACAACGGACGAATAAATGGACTGACATGTGTAATGATTAGTTTACGAATGCATCCATGCACGAGTCAGAAACACATCAGAAAGGAGCTGTTGGAACAAACCTTAAATAAATTATTTTGAACCAGAGAAGCAAGTAACATTTAACTATTTTAATATGAACGAGTTATTAAGTGTCATTTATTATTTAATTTATTTTTTTTGCGTTGATATTTAATTTTCCAAGTATAATGTAATTATCGCTGTGTAAATTTGTTGTTAAAATATTTGGAGAAATAAAAAAATTTGTATGCACAATTATTTACCTTCTTCTTTTTAAATTTATTTCTTTCAAAGAATCATATTGATCCCGGATAATTTTGTAAATTTTAAAAGCCAAATAATTACTAGATACCAAGATATTTTCCTGTGAATAATATTCCTTTTCACGGACAGGAATTTTCGTGAAATTGAATGGTCCAGAAAATCCTTTCTGATTAACAACTGAAAACAGTCTCCCCTCTTCGATATTTGATATAAAAAAAATGTTGCATCAGTTGATTTTTAATCCAAATGAAACAGATTTTTCCATAATAAGCCCCTTTCAAATGTCAACCCCTTCTGTTCCACTTCCTCAGCCCCTTAATTTGAAATAGAGGTTGTATAGGGTTTTTATTATACTAATGAACGTTCCAATTGTTTTTGTAATTTTTCGGTCACTAAATTTAATGTAGATACATTTTTTATGTCAAGAAGTTGCCAACATTTTTTACTGTATTTAAAATCAACATTCCTAAATCGTCAGAAAACCTCTTCATATTAAATATTAAGCCACCTCAAAAAATGTTGCTTAAAAATGACGGATAATGACTAATGACATGTAAGGTCCGAGTACAATAAGAACATAGGTGCGTCATCACTTGGCGAAGTAATTCATTGGTGATCGCCGCCTACTGGGGGTTTGGTGGCGGGTTAATATTATAGAAATATAGCAAATATTTTTCTTATACCCAAAAATTTATTTATTTTTTATTTATTGAAGCTGGATTTATAAACTTCGTTCAGTTCGCGTTCAGTTAACGCTCAGTTCGAATACACCGTAAACAAAGCAGAATGACATGGTAAGTATGTTTTGGATAAGAAATTATAACGGATTTATAATTATTTTATAACCAACACCATCTACAAATATAATTAAAATAAAAATAACAAAATATAATTTATTTTGTGGTTATGTCGTCAACTCGAACTGAGCGCCAACTGAACGTAGTTTATAAATCCAGCTTGATAGTTGTATTTGAACTTCGAAATAATGGTTATGACGTAGCGGTGTTATTGTAATTGGATTCTACTGACTAACTATAAAAAGTGGCTCAACAAAAATTTGACATGAGGGTTTTGGTTATTAATTTTGTAGATGTAAAAAAACGCTCAGACAGTGTTGATTTAAGTTTGGTTTATATACATACATCCCTTCATTCTGTCACTCTAACGAATACAATTTAAATAGGGAAAGTATCAAGTATGTCAAATTATTGAAAAAATAATTTTATGGAGAATGCAGCATTATGACTATTCATTGCGTTCGTTACTTTTGATTTTAGTGGGATAAAAACTGTTACGTATTGTAAAGTGTGACACTTCATTTGAAAGCCAATTTTATTAGTAATTTAATCCGTAGCATAAATTTGTTATTTTGGTTGCTTGCGATTAACATTTGTATTTCTTAACATTAGAGGCAGCCCTACAAGAGTTTTCAATTATTTAAGTTCATGTTTTCTTTAATTAGATTTTGTTACATTGTGCATTAAATTATTAATAAAATAAATTTTACAATAGGTAACAATTTTTTATCCTGCCAGAGAGCGCTAAAATCAATATTAACTCATTTTTTTTATTGTATTTTAAATTTACAATCTACTCAAGAGTATACAGATTAATAAATAAATGGTCTGGTTTCTTGTTAGGTGGCATGAGGCGGCCACCACCTATTGATGGGTCTTTGGGGTTTACTCTAAAATATCTTCTGGCCAGTGACGTTTAGTCATCTGTTTTCCATATGATCCGTGCATAGGTTGGCTATTAGTTAATTTTTATGATTTTCATTCCTAGTTTTGTTTTTCTTAGCTCAGGTCTCGATCACTTCATTGATGATCGAAATAAAAAGATCAAGAATAGGCATTTTCATCACAATTTTTTTTGTGCGCATGCGTCAGCATCAGTCATCTTTTTCGTACTGTTTTTGTAAAGAAGCATGTTAAAATGACCACGTGAAAAAATAAATAATAATTTAAGTATATTCATTTAAAAAAAGGAAGAAAAAGCAAAGTAATAATAAGTTTAGCGTCTTAATTGAAAAATACATTTTTGCAATCAATTAGAATACTTATGTTATCTGTACGGAAAGGAACAACGAAACGGTGTTGTTATGGAGTATGTAAAAGTGACACACGTTCGTAAAAAATTATCAAATTATCAGACAAAATCCATATTAAAACATGTTCAAAATGTGCATTAGGTGTGAAAAAATGTGGTCGAAGTGACAACGGTTTTCGATCGATTGATAATGTTACTAAAGATTCTTATATTTATTTACTACATTTTCATGAAGAAAGTGGTCCAACAGAAGAAAATTCTTATCTGGTATTACACAATATTTTTTTAATAATAAATACTACTTCGATACACACAGTAATATGATTAAAAATGTCATGTTGTTCCTCAAAATATTAAATAATGTATTTTATTAATTATACTCGTGATTAACTTTCATGTTAATTAAAGTATTTTTGCAAGTACTAATAGTTGGTTGGCATAATTAATTAGAATAGAGTTATAATTATTATTTGTTTTCATTAATTTTTTACTCAGTTGAGAAGTATTGATACACCTAACCTCTCAATCAATCCACTTTTGTAACAAATGTCCAAGACACTTCAACCACCTTTTCAACTGCTCACAACTATGTGCTTCCACAGAGTTATAAAAAAGTTAATCACCATCAACGATTTTTTCTAATGATTGATTTGTCTGTAGGGATAATATTGCTTTCCCAGCCATTGTAGATCAAAACAGTACGAAATATTTGAATTACCGCTATTTCAACATGGCGGCTGCGCTTGCGCTCATCACATGATGAAAAGGCCTATTGTGTGGCTCCTTATGGTCCATGGAACATTAGTAAGAAGGGTTTTTGATTGTAAAGTTTGTAATATTTGCGTGTTCGATAGTTTTCTATAACTCCATAGCTCTATACTATATGACCAGATTTGCTTCAGTACGGCTTTATATAGAAGTACCTTGT